GGCTAAGTATCCCAGGTCTAAGTTCACGTTCACGTCCAAGTTCAGGTCCACGATCTTACGTCTCAATTCTCACGATTTCTACCACTTTCTTGTGCGCAAGAACCCTACACTTTACAACACGACGAAACCTCTTCTTTTTTCGACTTCTCTACAATGGATGCCCTTCAAGTTCAGTCCGCCATCGCTGAGTTGCAAGCTGAAGTCCAGCGACAGCGCGACGAGATTCACTTACTCCGGTCAAGAACATCCGCAAAGCCTAAACCTTCCCTCCCAGACCCTGACAAATTCACTGGCCAGGCTCATAAATTCGACACCTGGCTTCCCTCAATCAAAGCAAAGCTACGAGTCGACGGTACAGCTATTGGAGACGCTATTGCGCAGTTCTACTACGTCTACCTCAACCTTGACTCCCACGTCCAAGCCATGGTCCTTCCACAGCTCTCTCAAGCAGAAGACACCCAAAGCTGGGACTACCAAACAATCCTCGAACAGCTCGCGCGCGTGTACGACAATCCAAACAAGGTACAGGAGGCGGAAGACAAGCTATTTGCCCTCAAGCAAGGTGCTGACTCAGTCCCTACATATATCGCCAAGTTTGAGCGTGTCCTTTACGAAGCAAGAGGTCAGGACTGGCCAGATGTCAACAAAATTTCCACCTTTAGGAATGGCCTTAATTCTACTCTTCGCGGACGACTTTCTCAACAACTCAACCTACCTCGCGATTATACTACATTCATACGCGTCGTACAACAATTAGCAGGCCGCTTCTCTTCGTCTACACAACCTACACAGTCCTACTCCTCTGGCAACCACCACAGCGAACCAATGGACATAAATGCTTTTAGCATCAATTCCATCGACCCATCCTCTCCTCCACGCGCTCGCTCTATTTCCCCTGAGCGTAGAGATCAATATAGAGCTGAAGGCAGGTGTGTACGATGTGGCTCCTTGGAACACTGGGTCAACGATTGCATACTCCGTCCTTTCTCACCAGGACCACAAGGAAGGAAATCAGCCATAGATTTGGGGGATCTACCAGCTGGGGAGGCATTCCCAAAGCCAGTACGAAAGCAGATTGCAAGACCAGGCAGAGTAGTAATAGCAGCTATGAACGACAATGCTTACGATAGCGCGGAGGTAGATTCGGACGATCCTGACCATCCAGATGCCTGGCAAAAGGGTATTTTTCACAATTAGTTCAGATTTTCAACGCTCGGGGCGAGCTCTTTTTAAAGGGGGGGGTGATGTGACGGTTATGGTCACGAGGGCTGGATGTCACATGCTCGCTTAGCGAGGCGCTAGCGCGCACGACCTGTATTTAGTTCCCAGCTCTCTCGAGCTCTCCTTCTTTCCTCGTCTTTTGTCCTAAGAATAGAGTGTTAATTGTTCTGAGTTCTACCTGAAGCACGTCTGTCACATCTAGTAGCCGACCTATTAACTATTTTCCAAATCTAGCCAGGTCAATCCTGCCAATAGTAAGGCCAAGTGAGGGGATGCTGCTAATTTTGGTAGGTGGGGTCCATCCAAGCTCAACTGGCAAACCCTCCTTCTCAAACAAATACTTAACCAAAGTGCGGTTGGCAGAACCTGGCATGCTCTTGGACTCAAAGGCAGCCCACAAGTTGCATAGTTCAGACGAGCTCCGACCTGGCCTAGCAACCTTTGGTAAGTTGGGTTGTTGGCCTGGGCGTATCGTCTACGTGCTTTGAGTTCAGCGACGGCATCTTTATACTACCGATAGAAGAGACGGTTAGTAATACGCTCTTGGCAACAGCACTGATACGTTTACTGGGTAGTAAAGTTTTGAGGAACTTACGGTGATGATGTCGCTGTCATCTGCCCACGAAGACTGACAGCGGGCCCATACCTCCTCGTTGAAAGGGCCTGGGTCGCCATCATAGGCGTCAAGTCTGGACATAGAGGCGTCGTATTCTACCTGTTGAGGTTCATGCTGTGCGAAGTCGGCAAGGTTCAATGTCTGAATGTGGTCAGTTCACTACCAATCAAGAAATGCCACGAGTAGGTTACTTACATTTGGGTTACCGGTGGTGCTAGTTTTCAAAGCACCCGCGAAGACGACGTCGACAGGTCCGTCTCCCATACCTAGGTACTTAGATGCTGCTCTCGCCATTTTCAGATCGATGTTTTTGCCATCCCTTGGGAGGATTCCATGATTAGCAAGGGCATTCAATGCCGGGCATGGACCACGGCTGTCACTTTCGCCGGGTTCACTGAATGGGTATTCTGTGATGTCGATAGTTAAAACCCTGAGCGAGAGTGGAAACGGGAAGCAACAAAGCGACCACGATTGCGGATCCGAACTTGCTGAGCGAAGGCGTCTTGCTGATTTAACGTAGGAAAAGTATGAATTGTATTCTGGTCAAAAGAGCGTGAGGTACAAAAAGACAAACGAGCGGACGTGATAGCACCACAGAAAAGAAGGGATACGAAAAAGAAATGGGAGGAAAGAAGTTGCGGATACCTAACTGAGAGAACATGAAGAGCCCTTTATATCCATTTGAAATCATCAAGGGTTCAAATGACGTCCTTAAATTTCTACTTTCAGGTAATACGAGCAACGAGTTTGTGGGGAAAACTGCAGTCTTCTTGAAATCCCTTCTCGTCTTAGGCTGCCTTTTCAAGCACAACAACGAAAACCTAGCCTTGATTTGCTAAAGAAACTATCTTACGTTATAGGAATTGTATTCTAGTTGCCTCCATCAAGTCAAATTCGGTGCGATGCAAGAATAATTTGAACACCGAGCTGTGCTATAATAGGCCAGAAAAAGAAGGGTGAGAAAATCCTTTTAGATCTGTTCGGACATACCGAATAGGAAATCTCATTATCGAAAAGCAAATTGCCCATACCGTCTAAGGCAAAAAGAGTTCTCCATCTTCAATTTCCATATTACAGATGTTGAGTTCTAGGAAATAACCTCAATTGTGGGGATATAAGCTTTCTTCTCCAGAATCTCCAAACCCGCAGATTCCAACGAAAATTCCACTGTCTAAGTCTACGATCGATCGATGAGAGACCTGCTGGAATTTTCGAATCAAATGTGTAGCCTCTTCTTTGTTAGGAATAATTAGTACATCAATCGCGAGGACCGAATCCGCGGACATCGCTTTGGCCGTCAGTCAAGGAGTGTAGTGATGCTGTACACAGCCTTTTCGTCGTACAGTCATGCAAAATCCCCCCTCATGTGATAAGCTTTTGCCCTTATTCTTGGAGTAGCTAAAAGGAGCCAACGTCAAGAACTTTTGAAATCACGAACCCTTGATTGGCTGTTCCCATACTCTCCACTCCTTGTACCCGGGGGATCACCATTGGCAGGCCCTTAAGAATTATGCAATCTTTAAGTAGGGGAGGTTTATTTTTAACGAACCCTGATTGATGATTGGATCCTCTAGCAGCATCACCAAGATTACATCCTTCTCACTGGTCCCTTTGCGGTGCTTGAATAGGCGGTAGGCATCGAGGAACGCCGTTGCTTGGCTTTGGCAAATCAGCAAAAACTTATTCGTGGAACATATCATACTTCAAGCAAAACATACAATATGGTCATCGAGTTACTAAGTTAAGATGATTCAATAAAGGTGATCACTAACTTAGTATACGCTGCCATCGACCAACTCTAGAGATGCTGTATTGTTTTTTGGCCGAGACAATACATAGTTGAGCACCGGCAAACCCGTTTGATATGTAACTTGAAACACGGAGTACATCGAATTAGAAGAATTGGCATGTTTGATGTCTTTCGAAAATTTATGTATTAGGTCTCACACGTTAAGTGGCCTTCCAAGCTGAAGAGGGAGTATAGTCAGTCTGTGGTCTCAACAAGCATAGATTCAATACCTAAAGTTTACTTATGTATCATTACTGCTACGTCTCCTGGCTCAACCTGTATATTTATAACATTGATAGTAAAAACTTCCTCTTCAACTTCCCTGACCAGTTTTGAAGCAGCAAGTAAGCGCAATATCCTCCGTGTAGCCAATTCATGATAACGATTCAACATGAAATTGGATTCTCAACTAACCCATAAGCACAGAATCGCAGTCCTGGTGGATTTGCGATGTTTTCTACAGTAAAGGCGTTCCACTTCTGACCAGATGCTCAAAATAACCCATGGTCACTGATTACCATAGCCCACGTTAAGCTCGTAGATTAAGTCGTAACCTAGGGGCATATATTTGGATATTCTTAAAACCACCGAGTAAGTAACATAGTAAATAAAGGGGGCGGACAGCTAAGAGTAAACCATGTTACGTAGATTTTATTAAAACCTACTACTATATGAGGAGCTCTTTTTAATAGCTTTTATACTATTTCTTAGACAGTTTTTTCTTACTAAGTAGTCCGATTACGCGTTCTAGTAGCTAAAACCCTATATTTTTAGCTAAGATATATTGTATAAGAGTATACCTATAGTAGGTTGTCGATCTTATTACTCTAGTAGGGTGCCAATCTTGGCTGTCCACCCCCTTTCAGCTACTCGAGTAGGGCAAACTATACTAATCTTTATATTACCATGGCATCCTGAACATCGTGGGTTTAAGCACAAGTCGCACGTTACAGTTTCATGAGCAGAAGATAGAGAATAGACAAGTTTCGTTTGTAGTCATATCCTTGGGAAGTATCTGGCTGCAGTCTTGCGTCCACATACGGTAGGCACAAAGGAACGGGAAAAGAGGGTGATCGATCGGCGAGTGTAGCGAAGGCCAAACATTTCCCATTGCCAATCAAGACAGCATCGTGGATATTTCTTGCAGAATTGTGTTATATAATTACAAAACATGAAGACAGCTTCTTGTTATCTAAGATTTGCTGAAACGATCTCCTTACCCGGTTGGCCTCTTTCCATTTGAGTTTCTTGGCTGTTCAAAGACAATGACTCCCCGTAAATCTCGCGGACTTCTTGTATGATTCAAGCTGTCTCTGAGTGTAGAGATGAGTTCAGTTTCAATGACGAACCAACAATATAGAGTGGCCTCAACTGAACCCAAACATTTTTACATCACCGTAACTCTGCCCTCATGATCCAACAAACCTCGGTAGCTTGGAAGCTAAAGCGGAAAATCCATTTTGTACAAGTAGCCGTTTCTCTTTCTTCGATTTGCCCCAAAAATTTCTTGGTCAAATCGATTTTATCGACCTTTTTCTGGATTGTCAGGAGAAGTGGGCAAGAAATCATCACCCACGAACACCCACAAACACCTCTAAACAGCCTTGTCAACTCTCCGAGAACATGTAACATCACTTGGAGCGAACAGAAGCAACTTTGTCGGCAAGAGTTTCTTGGCCTTGTTCTTTCCGTATCCTCCGCTGCTCTACCTTCTCCTTTTCAATGGCTTCCAGTCGTCTCGCCACCTGTGCTCCAGCAGCAATCTCAGCCTTCATGGCGGTCTCGGTCAAGTCTCTCTCCTCTCCCTCCAGCTTCTCCAGCTGCTTCTTCAATGGTGCCTGGATTCTTTCCCTCAGGTCTGAGATTTCCTCAGCATCCTTCCTACCTGATGCGGACTCGCTAGTATCGAGTCTTTTCTTCGGCGGAGCTAGTAATGGTGGGAAAGCTGGAGGGGGTAGTCCTTCCTCCTTTGCCTTTTCAATTGCCTTTTCCTGGTCTAACATGCGATGATATAAAGTATCGGCTTGCATCTGTATTCGCTCGTTCTCCTCGGGTGATCGATCGTTGGTGGAAAGGTATCCCAGAGCTTTCAGGAATTTCTGAATCGCCCTTTAGCCTGCGAATCATGTCTGGTGAAGATGAGAACTCACGGATTGCATCATATAACATCTATCAAACCTTCTGTTCTCTGCTCGGCACACGGTCGCTTTGGCACTCCACCCGCCATTCCTGAAGCAATCACTAACCTCCAATTGCTCCAGCGCGCAATTCTCCAACGCCGTTCTTCCAATCTCTGCCCGCCGTGATTTATATCCATCCAGCACATCCAACATTTTTTCCTGGCTCGACTTTCCCTCGGCCTCCACATCCTCGATTGGTTTGTACGTTTTCCATAAGTGTGCATATCGGCCATCTTGATACAGCGATTTCGAGGGGACTGCGGGTGCTTTGCTTTCTTCTGGAGGAGGGGCGGGGGCGAGAGGTTTCTCTTCTGGTACTGGACGTGGCGTGGGCGCTGACGATTCGTATTTTGCTGGGGCTTCTTTTTTCAGAAAGTCGCGCAGGCTGGGATCGAGATCGCGGAGGGCATCTTTGTCGTCGGATTTACCCCAGAACCAAGGCATTTCTGCGATTGATTGATATTTGTTATGGGTATAGGTAGTAGGGTGGAAGAGCGGGAGGGAGAGAGAGGAGAACTGTAGTGTTGCTGGTACCAATGTAAATGTTTGAGCTCTGCGCATCGCATCGCATCGCATCGATCGCTGGGAAGCTCAAATACCCGGGATTACCCCGTGGCTCCCCTCCTCCCCTCAATTGCAAGACTCTCAACTCATCACCACCCACACCCACACCCACACCCACAACCACACTTGCACCTACATAGCTATCTATCTATAGGTACTCGTACACTTCATATCTGGATCTCAGTCATCGTCATTTTAACATTTTTCATAAGCATATTTTCTCTACATTAACATCATCCACGCATATACATGTAGGACATATATCTATACCTATACAGATATGCTCTGCATATCTATTGCACAACCCCCTACCCCGCAAATCTGATACCGCAAATCAAGCCACTGCCTCTCTGGCCTGTGAACGAATTGCTGCTCTAATGGAGTACCCAGCTTTGAGTGCAAGTTGGATGGTCTTGATTCCGATGAGGCCGGTACTACTGGTGATGAGAATGAGGTCTTCCGTCATTTTAAAGGTATCTCGGTGTGTTGAATTCAGTGGCTTTTATGCTAAGCGTGCTGTTGATGGCAGTTGTCTTGAACTGAGTTATCTCCACTGAAACTTCAGGTTTGCAAAAGATCGAGACGTATCAATTTACTATTCAAAAATGTGATGGTATTGTAAATAAAACCTAACACCCAGCAGAAAGGCCCCTTTATGTATCTCCTTCCCCCCCAAGGTCTTGTACTGGAAACCAGCATCAATTCACAATTTTTCTTAAAAATCATTATGGCTTATCTATCTTTTCATCTTATGAAACTTTCAAGAGTTTTCAAAATCAAAAGTTCCTTTTCGGGATAACGGTGGTTATATATCGGTGATAAATACATCACCTCACGACTGGTTTCGGCTATTTTTCTTACCCCACAAACAACGTTTGCTTTTTGTTTACTTATCAGCTTAATATCATTGAAGGTTGTGTAACACGGATTGGCGTTGGGTAATGGGAGATGCGAAGGATGTGGCATGGTCTATGATTGTTGGCAGTAAATTTTATAGCATATATTCCCCCTGTCTTGAGCCTCTTTTGTTTGAGTATCATATTAATGTTGACTAGACATACTCCATGGAATTATGCCGACCGTGGAGTTTCTTGAGAAAAGGCCGAGAGTACTGCTACTAATATGGTGCATCTATCTTTATAGCCGGCAGGTACCAAGAAAACACTCCCTCCGATGCATGAACACCTGGTTTACCATCACAGGTTTCATTGCTGCTCTCATATACTGGATTGTCGACAAATATGTTATACAGGCTATGTGACGAAGGGGTGTATTTATCCTTCCATCTCTAGTTTAGTAACTCTCCTCTCAGAACGGGCTTTGGGGCGCTTCAGCAAAGTAATTCTGATGCCTTTTTGACCCTTCGTATGCTTCACTTTCATTCCTTTTCTGGAAAATGTGGCTCTGTTGGTACAAGAGATATGTGTATATATCTATGCCGCGAGAAGGGAAGTAAACAGGCGAAAAACGTAGATCGCAGTCAATTATGATCATAGCTAAAGCAATGGAAACGCTTAAGTATTCAAGGTACTCATATGATCCATATTATATGTTGTGTACCGGAGGCTGGATCCTACAGGGTGGGATTGAAGATACAGCTAACCTCCTGTTGCGATATATTCCACTCCTTTAGTCACGTTATTTTAGACCTACCTCGTTCGAGTACTTAATACTCGAATTCCTATACTTACTTAGCTCCTTAATAATCGAATAACGTATATAACTACCTATTACTTATTTACTTAATCCTATTAGATTCCCTCTAGGAATTTAATAGATATCTCTATACTAATACTAATTAGTAAGCCCGTATAAATTAGAAATATAATATATTATTTATATAATTTATTATACTTTTATTTAAGTAACCTTAACTTAGGTGCCTTTAAAGAATATAATAAATAATCCTAGGCCGCTTATTATTATACTCGTGACGGTTCTGAACCGTCACAATACTACTATATTCCTTTAAAAGTAGAACCTTATTATTAGACCTTATAAATAGAGATAATAATCTACTTTTATTTCTTTATATATATTATAAAATAATAAAACTCGACCTTTTAATTAAGTGCTTTCGAGATAATAATCTAAGGATTCTAACTACTAGCTTTAAGCTTCTAAATAAGCTAAATCGCGAAACTAGGAATCCTACCTTTATATAACGAACACTTAAACTAGCTAACTAAACTTAGCTAGGTGTTCGCTGGTTAGTATACTATAATAAGAAGAAGACTATTAGGTTATTTACTTAGAAGTAAACTCGTTACTTATATTAAAGATATTAAACAAATATAATAAGATCAATAACTAAGTTAAGTATAAAGCTCCTATCTAATAGTAGACGTGCTAGTCTTATATAGAACCTTTATACTCTAGGAGTCGATAATATCGATAGTCGAGAAGTCGACCTATATATATTATATAATAGTAACCTATAGAAATCCTTAGATCGCTTAGCTTCTCTAAACGATTCCTATTTACTATAAGAAACCTAGATATACCTGTCGAGGGTTACACCTTTTATTATAACAAGTATTACGTAAATATATAATTTATAATACTATTCCCTTCTTAGCCTAGCTTTATCCTAAAGCTTAAGTATAACTAAAGAAATATTGTCGGAAGGTCGTTAGCCTTCTATTCCGTTATTATACTACCTAACTAACGTAATAACCGAAGTGACAAACTCCTTAGTAACGCTATTAAGAGAACTAGTAAAAGAAATATAGTACCCTATTCCTGTTATAAAAAGAATAACTACTCCTACGTTGCGCCCTATAACTAGAAACATTCTCGCTATACTAAGTATACTTATTAGAGTAAGACTTATAACGTTCGATAAGTTAACTAAATACCTTCTACTATTAAATAGGAGTCTTTAGAGGAGAAACGGAGGAAGATTTGGGCCTAAAAGAATAAGGCTATAGTAAAGCTACTTCGCCTAAATAAGGAGGAGGAAGCGCTTAAAGAGCGTAAACAAAAGATAATAGTAGCTAGTCTTAACTCCCTTAATAAGTTAGATACTACCGAGGAACAAGAAAGAGAATAAGAGAAGGAGTAAAAAGAGAAGAAGCAAAGAGAGAAGGAGGCTACTTATCTTACTATCTTTCTAACCCCTACTACTTCTAACTCATTTCCCGAACTTAGTCTTAACCCTGTTTTCTTCGAGACTCTCTTAGGTAACCCTAAGATATAGGTAGCCCTAGGTTTCGGCGGTAGAACTCCTAAAGTTCATCTAAGTACTAGATAATATTCTTTCTAGGTTCCTAAGTGTTTTCTAAGTATAGGTAATCTAACTATTTAATTAAGTACTTAATCTATTTTCTAATAACCCTATAGTTAAGAATCTTCTTGACCTTATATTCGGCGTTTAGGTTAACCGGTTAAATCTTAGTATATAGGGCTAGTAGTACTCCCGGTAGTACTAGTTTAAGTAGGGATATATAGAATACTAGGTAGATATTTATTATCTTTAGTAGTACTAATTCGTAATTTAAAGGTCCCTTAACTCTTTTGATTTTAAATAGTCTAAGTTTCCTATAGTCTAGTTTATTACTTAGTCTCCTTATATTGATATTTTTTCATATAAGGTAGACTTTATCCCCCTCTTTTAATATTAGCTCCTAACTATATCGCTTATTATAGTAGTATATATTACGTTTTACTATAAAATGTAGCTTATTTACAAGTTCTATATATAAACCTTTAATTTTTAAGACCTAGATATAAGTAAGTTAATTATTTATTATTATAGTTAATAGTTCTTAATATACCTCTAATTTATGCCTAAAGTTAGTATAGAATAGTATAATAAGTATTATCTCTATTATCAAACTATTATAACTTATACGAATTCTACTAGCGGTAGTAGTTTAACCTAATTATTCTACTAATAATTTATATAGTAATAAAGTTATATCTTAACTACTTAATTTATATATTTTTTCCTCTATTTATCTAAGGGTAAAATACTATCGATAGCTTCCTTTTTACTGTCACGGATGTGACGGTTCTAACCGTCACCACCATTCGGATCACGTGGTCTCGCTTAGCGACCCACACCAAGTATTTAGATCGAAGCTCTCTCGAGCTCTCCTCTTCTCCTCAGCTTAGAATCTTTGTTTAATTGACAGTTCTACGATTCCACAACCTACACCGTGGGCCTTGCGTACGTGTCGTCACAACGGATGCCAACAAAGGATAAAGTGTATACAGCTTTTGAATCAATTGCTAGAACTAAAACCGTAGGTACGAAGAAATCAAACTAAAGAGAGAAGAGAATCTGAAAGGAGCGAAGTTATTTAAGTTGTTCCAATGCCAAGTCTCGTCACGTGCTTGGCCAAGCGAATGAAATCCTGTCAAATGAAATCCAGCTCCGTCACATTTACTCCTAAGCGCTCTATAAGGGCTGTCTAGAATCATAAAGTAAAGATTTTATCTTTATCTAAGACTATTTCTTCTAGTAGTCTGTAACGGAACGGTGAAGGATACTGCTATTCCACTACTTAGAATCTAAAGCTAAGGAGAGAAGAGCTATCTGAGGAGAAAACCCGAGGTTCTTATGCCAGAAACACCACACACCCAACAGCTCCTTATCCCCGCGTCTCCCACATCCCTTATCACGCCACGATGAGGGATCTGATGTGTCGTCGTGTTTGCTTAAAGAGTTTTCTGAGGGAGTTGTGTGTTGGCATGTTTGCTTGAAGAGTTTTCCTTCATTGTTTGTTTTAAGGAGAGAAGAGCTATCTGAGGAGAAAACCCGAGGTTCTTATGCCAGAAACACCACACACCCAACAGCTCCTTATCCCCGCGTCTCCCACATCCCTTATCACGCCACGATGAGGGATCTGATGTGTCGTCGTGTTTGCTTAAAGAGTTTTCTGAGGGAGTTGTGTGTTGGCATGTTTGCTTGAAGAGTTTTCCTTCATTGTTTGTTTGCTTGAAGCGTGGGACATGCATGCTCGCTTAGGCAGGCACTTGTCCTGCGGTCACGAGGAAGAATAACCGAATCGCGACATTCGACCCGTGACATAGTCTGTGTTTTAAGACTACCTCTCTAAGGAATATAAATACTAATTCCTCGGCTATACTTAATTCTTTATATAGTACTAGAATTATATATTTTATTAGCCTTTCTATAATAACTAGGATTAAGTTATATTTAATACCTATTATTAGATTCTTAGATTTCGGTAATTTTATCATAAAATTCTAAGAGATTAATTTCTAAGGGGTTAGTAGTATTGGAGTAGTACCTATCTATCTATAGGGTATATAGTAGGAAGCCTTGTTCTTAATATAGGTATTATACTCTACTATTACTGTCAGGACTTGTAGCAAATGCTGATGAATTGAACTACAGAGGTTGTCTATGTACAAGAAGATTCGATTGTCCTTCCCAAAGCAGCTTCCCAGCTCTCTCTATATACCACAGAACTGGCTACGTGTCCTTTACCAATACTCTAGAAGGTTCCACCAAGTCTGCTTAGAGGTCACGTGCACATGACGCTGGAGCCCTCCAAGACTCACTCCACGGGTGCAACCCTTGACAATTACTTCATTAACTATAGCGACTACCCTCCTAATATCTATAGGCTAGTACTACGTAGTACTCTATAATCAATTCTTTTATATATAAGTCTAGTGTAACGAATACTGAAACTGGCTAACTAAACTTGGCTGGGTGTTCGCTGGTTGGTATGCTATGATAAGAAGAAGACTATCGGGTTGTTCACTTGGAAGTGAACTCGTTACTTGTATCAAAGATGTCAAACTAATATGATAAGATTGATAACTAAGTTGAGCACGAAGCTCCTATCTGAATGGCAGACGTGCCAGTCTTATATAGAACCTTCGTTCTCAGAATACTACTACTAAGGAATGTTGGTCGACAACCAACTCTGTCGACCATCACGTGACCAACATGTTGGTAAAGGTATACATCCATATACATTATCCAACCAATTAACGGCTCCTGCTTACATAAGAAAACTCCCTTTGGTTTCCCAGAACACATAAAGCTCCCAGGCCCATATGTGCTCGGCTTGTCATGACGCCGTCTGGTCTTCACTTGTCACGTGTGCACGTGATTCGTGACATCTAGGACCTAGGTCTTACTATTCTTTGTTTCCTTGATTCTATCTTATACTTATACTACTTTGATTTTATTATCCTAAGGACTCTTTTTAGTTATAGTAGCGATTTTATAGATTATTAGAGCAAGGTCTCTGTTCTTAAGAGTATTTAAGATCGTAATCTTCTTATACTCTTTATCCCCTTTATAGCCTAGTTTCTAGCTAAGCGTATCTACTTATATGTTTAAAGTTCTACTAATATAATAAATTATAATTTTAAATCCTATAAGGATTTATAACTACCTAGTAAGTCTCTAGTTACTAAGCTCCTTAGTTATTATAAATACTTTTAGATTCTTATAGTTAGTAAGAACTATTACCTAGTACCTTATATCCTAGAGGTAAATCTTCTAATACTCTAAAGTGAGGACTATAGTAATAAGTTCTTTCTTAAGATACTATAATTTTACTAAGTAGGGTCTAGTATTTTTAAGAAGTATATAATAGGTATTAACTTCCTATTCTTATTAGGCTATAAGTATATAGCTCTAATAGTAGTATCCAAAGTATCTATCTTAATAGTACTTAGTTTATTAACGTTATAATTCCTAAGGATTAGTTTCTTAGTAAATCATTTCTTAAATTCCTAAAAAGCCTATTCTATTACCTTATCCTAGGAGAATATCTTATCTTTCCTAGTTAAGTCTATTAAGGGTTTAGACAATCTAGCGTAGTCTACTATAAATTATTAATAAAAGTTAGTAAATCCCTAGAATGATTAGACGTCTTTAACGTTTTCTAGTAATTTCTATTTTGTAATAACCTTAATTTTCTCTAGGTTAACTTCTATTTAACTAGAGCTAACTATATATCTAAGGAAGATAGTTGTAACGAATACTCAAACTGGCTAACTAAACTTGGCTGGGTGTTCGCTGGTTGGTATGCTATGATAAGAAGAAGACTATCGGGTTGTTCACTTGGAAGTGAACTCGTTACTTGTATCAAAGATGTCAAACTAATATGATAAGATTGATAACTAAGTTGAGCACGAAGCTCCTATCTAATGGCAGACGTGCTAGTCTTATATAGAACCTTCGTTCTCTCTACATCGCCTACATCACCTGTCGATGTAGTCGACCTCCTATCGCTAACATCGACTGTCGATACAGACGATGCGATTGATCACGTGACTACATACACGAGAAATCCTTGGATCGCTTAGCTAGTCTAAGCATCCCTATTTGCTATAAGAAACCTGGATGTGCCTGTCGAGGGTTGCGCCTCTTTATTATGACAAGTATCACGTGAGAACGTGATTCGTGACAATCAGTTCTATCTACTACTTATAATTAGTATAGTATTATTCTCTTAACTAGGATATTTAGCCTTTTAGTTACTACTAGAGAAAGGAAGTTATCTATTACTCCTAAGTCGATTATAACTTAGAGTTCCTTTCCTTATATAATAGCTCTTACCTTAAACTGTCACGAATCACGTGCCCTTAGTTAAGAGAATAATACTATACTAATTATACCAACACCTCCCTATAGTGAAGATACTACAGTGGTTCAATATCAAGCATGTGCCAAGTGAATTCGTCTTTGTAACCAGCATGTTCACTCTCTTGGAGAGCACTCAAAAGTGGACTGGTTAGCAACTTTTATGTTTTTTAAAGACTTGGATCCCACCAGAATCTTTCAGCATAACAACATAGTCTTTGTGCCTCTTCACAGCGCCATTCGTCATCCAGCGTTATCGCCTCCTTGGGTAATGGAGGAAGTACTACCTCAACTAGGAGAAGCAAAGGCTTCTGGCGACGCACCAACCTCTATGGACTTTGTCACAGGCACATCTTAAGAGCTTAAGGTCATGGCATCAACGTCGGAAAAGGACATTATCCAACCATTAAATGATGAACATGCTGTGAGTCATCCCTCTTACCATAAATGGCCTTGAAAATAACCCAGCTCATGTGCAGATGGTCATGAAGCCGTTTACCACAAACGATCACACGAACAAGGAGAAGAATCTAGAGTACAGAACCCCTTGATACATTTCCAGAAGAGATTCTCCTCCAGATAATGAAGCTACTCCACCCCGTTGAATTGGTCTGTTTAGCTCTCATGTCCACAAAACTCTACTGTGTCCACCGCGAAGTCCACGGAGTAGTCAAGCTAGACACCGAATATCTGGTCGCCACTCCAGAAAACCCCTCCAACGGTGAACTTTCCGACCTCCTCAAAGAATGGATGGAGGATAGGGGATTCGCCTGGGTTGTCTGGGCTCGAGATGGTGGCTGTGAGCATTATGATCCTGATCACTTTAAGGCTTCCAAAGGGTATAAGATGAAACATGCCGCTGATTTCATCTATGCTTACCCTTGCTTCTATGTCCCACATGCATTTTCGAAGGACTGGCCTGTGAACAAGAGGGTCCCGAAGTTCAAAAACGGTAACTTGACCCACTATATGTGGGATCGCTATTTGTCGGTAACATTGAAGAGTCAGATCTACCTTCATCATATAGGAAAGAGACGACCTCGGTACCATTGGAATGACTTTAGAGAAGCGGAGGACCGCGTCTCAGAAGTAGTTATACACCACGTGTGAGGGAAAGCTAGAGGCCAAAGGGTGGAGGGGAGGGGGAAGGTATTAATGAAAGGCGGTAATATTGTGGCGGAGAAGCGGGAATACTGACGCTAGCTTGGACTTCAAAATTCAAGCTTGGTCGTCCTTAGTAGTTCAGACTCGTATGAGCATTTCTTGCTTTAGCATAAGTCTTATTCTTCCTTTTGTTTTCCTCTCGTGAAACTCAGCCTTTTAGTAATGCAGGAACATTGAAGTCCTCATAACCCTTCAGCATTTTCAAAGCATTCTGTTTTGATGTCTTCCTTAAACCCCACATATATGGAATCAGCGAAGTTTTGAGGACAAACATAGTATATCTCACCTCTACATTCGAATATTTAGACTCGATAACTTACCAGCTACGCTTGGCAGCGTGGAGTATGTGTAATTATATTTGATCTAAAACGAGTGTTTTCACAACAACGGCTTAAGAAGAGTATCAGGAAGGGTAAAAAGAATCCAGGTCTTTCTCTTTGAGCAGGGCAACATGGTCACGGTCTTCATTGTAAGCTTTTGGGCTAACGAGTTGAGAAGCGGTCCTATCCATTCATTTAAAATGGTTTAGAGGGATCTCCGCTCCACAACTGAATAATATTAAGTTGATATCAAAATTCTAACTAAAAATTAGAGAAGAAAGTGTAGAAATTCATATAAATAACTCCTGATTATTGTTTAGGCTCATTTTAACACCTGTGATTCTTTGCAAGACTTCTACCCCACCTTAACTCTCCTTACTCGCCATTTCAACAGTATCATCCCCCGACAAAAGCGCGCCAGCTTTGAAGTGTTTGGCATACACATCAACCTTTGTTGAAGCAAAGTTCCTCGCCGAAACGCCCCTGATGAACAAATCATCAAGCTCCTCATACGTCCGACCTTTACACTCAGGTAAACGGAAGTATATCCAAACGAGCATTACACAAGCAGTACTAAACCACACATAACCCGTCTTGCCCTTGAAATTGAGTTCCGTGGGATTAAGTAAGTATGGCTGCGCGACATTCGCCGAGATCTGAACAATGTTGTAAACATTTCGGGAGAAGCAGATGGATTTTGCCCGTAAGCGGATGGAAGAGGTTTCAGAAATGATGGCGTAACAGATTGGTCCGAGAGTCATGGAGTAGATGAAAAGCCATAAGAGACAGAAAGCCACTTGGGCCCATTTTGCACCGCTAGATGTAGAGGAGGCTACGACGGCAATGAGGAGTAGGCAGAGAGCGTCTCCAGCCATTCCAAAGAAGTAGAGAGTTCGTCGACCAAAATGGGTTAAGAGATACCAAGAAATTATAGTCCCAACGAAAGATAACCCTGTGCCTCCCAATGCAATTCCATACGATTTGCTCGTATCAATTCCCGCTTGCTCTAAGAATTTGTTAGCAAAGCTCCCATAGGGTTGGACATGCACTCACGAAAGAAGTAGGTTGGTCCGTAGGCAAAAGAAGAACCAGATAACACTTGGCCCGCAAAAACCACGCAGACAATCTCAGTTCGTCGAAGATCCACGCCCTTGAACAAGTCAAAGTAAGATGTCCCAAATTCAGCAGCTTCTTCGGTCATCAGAGTATGCCTCATCTGGGCGATGGTCTTCTGCCGCTCATGTGCATCTTTCTCGTCAAGCTGAGCAAGAGCTTTCCACGCATCTTCTGCCCTATCGTGCTTCAATAGCCACCACGGTGATTCGGGTGCGAAAGCAATAAAACACATGAGAGGAACTGGCCAAACCCATTGCAAGCCCTGTTGAAAATTAGCCTGTGTTGATAAAGAATTTGGAGTAGTACTTGCATAAGCGATCCTATAACCCCATTCATTACGTAAACTAAGTAGTCCTTTCAAAGCTCCAGCAGCAATGAGCTGCCCAGTAGCCCAGCAGAGATTGATGTATGTAGTCAAATATCCACGAAGAGCCAAGGGACAGACTTCCGAAGCATATGCTGGTCCTGTGGTAGCAAAAACTCCCCAAGTCAACCCGCAAAGAACTTGTCCAACAACTAGGACCGGTTTTGATTCGGCGAAAAAGGGGATGAAAATAAACCAGTTCAAAAAGAAAAGTGCACCAAGGATAACCTTTTTGTATCCGTATCTTTTCAAGAACGAGTTAGCTCTAAAGTTGTCCATATTTCACCTAGAAACGTGGAATCATACCGTGTAGAAAGAAAGCCATTGAGGAAACCTCCAATAACAACGCCGGCACCTCCAGCATTCCCAAGTCCTGACTGCCAAGGAGCAGAGACTTCCTTCTGGGCGATACCTGGATATTTTGTCCCGAACTTCTCCACGAAAGCTGGATAAGCAAAGAAACTGCCAATCAAGCCTACGAATATGTTAGTGTGGCTGAGCTGTATTGTAGGGCAACTAAACTATATACCAATATCATATCCCTCCATTACGATAGTCAGACTTATGATGGCGCTCCAAAAGATTGCTTTGCGTCCATCTTTAAATGCTTGCCAGCCCTCTGATTTCTTCTCGGCTTCGTTGGCCTCGCGGGCGCGGGTCAGTTCTTTATAATCCATTGCCCCATTGTTGTCTTTCAGGTCTTCGATATATTCGACAGCATCATCATTACCGAGCGCATCATTCTTTGCTTTCTCCATGTTTGGGTATTGGCGAGGAAGTGTTGTTGTCGATAGAGTAGTAGGAAACAGAAATGAAAGAACGAATCCGAGGGGAATGTATTGTCATATATACATTTATACTAGTTATAAAAGGAAGGAGCGGGGAAGATGAAATATAGGACGCGACAGAAGAATGTGTGGATGTATTGTCATATTGTTGCTTTCACTACGTTACTCAATCCCGATGGATATATCCGGCTGGCTTATTGGATTACAAAGTACCTTGTAGATTCCAGGTTTGACCGTCCACTGCGGCTCTCGAACAAGAAATGCAAAAGACAAATGGCTTGGGAAAATCGAAGATACAAGGACAATCGTTGTAATAACGTTACAAGATTAAGATTTTTTGGGCAAATCACCAGGCCTTCGACATCGACAGCCAAACCGCAAAGACTCAGCTCCTCATCCGGAAAAAATGGACACACAAGCGAGGTGATCTGTACCCGTCACTAATCCCACTCCCTCGATTGGTCAATGAGGCAACCGTCAATGTACTCAACGCATTTAGTAGCTTTCCTCTCATATAACCAAAAGCCCACACGGATTCGCACCAATTATACTTCGGATCAACCTTGCACACACGTTGCAATAAATACACCCGATACCCCCACGTATATAGTTTCCCCGACTTCCCCGCAAAGCACGAGCCACCCATGTCCGGGGACGATCTAGTAAGCGGAAAACAAGAACCTCGCTAGACGATATAGGGGTCACGCGTAAACCATGGTCAAACAAAAAACGCGGGGTGAATGTACCTATACTCAATGGTACAGAAGTTCCTGGGATATTCGTGCTTCCAAAGCGGGGTGCGCATCGAAACTGTACGTCATTCAAGAATTTAACCACCAATTTACCCACTTTACGTGGTGATCCCTACCCCTTTTCATCGCTTGTTGTCTGTGGAGTATTGCCAAGGATTTGGAACGTACCGTCAGGTACGTTTTCTTTAGGGTTCATTGGTAACGAAGCTTTGCAGGCGTGGCTTTGGATGTGTGGTGCATAGATTTTGTACGTCACGAATGAACCTTGACCACGTTGTCGTACTCCCCGTTTAAGTCGGGCAGGTACGACTTCGAAAGCCTCAACACTACCACACTGTCTTGCCATTTTCAGTACCCGAATAAGGTGCTTGTTTGGTGTCTCGCCAGACCTTGAAGCATTTCATTGTTCATCCTCCTTTTCCTCTTTAACAGTTGTTAGCATATATGGATGTATGGTGTGAGTATCGGCCTTCATTTTTCATTTTATATTCCGGTTAACACGTTTACTTTTGGTCTAGTTATGATAGTAAATATAGGGGAACATTTGAAAAACTCACGGATGTTTCGGATTTAGAACGTTCTGTTGGATTTTCTGATGTCAACGAGGCAAATCAAACTTTCTGACTAACCTGGCAACAAGTACTGGTCATTCTCCTCGTCCTCCAACAAAAGCCCTACAGTTGCACCTTCCATTGCTTACACAGTCCTTTGCTAGACCTCTTTCCACAAGAAGATTGAAGACATCGCCATCCACGCCATCAGAGAATCACAATGTTCCTCGCCGAACCCAACAAGCTCATCTTCCGCTTCGACAACCAGGTCCTCTGGGTCGAGGCGTGGGGAGAAAATGCCCTTCGCATCCGAGCAACCAAACAAGGCCAAATGCCCACAGAAGCCTGGGCCCTTTCAGAAGAACTCCTCGATCATCAGAGCGTCTCCATCAATCTCCAAGACGGAAAAGAGAGCAGCATCACCAACGGCAAAATCAAAGCACTCATTACCCCACGTGGCAAACTCACCATTTACAATTCCCAAGGGACGATCTTGCTCGAAGAATATGCCAGAAACCGCGTGGATCCGACGGAAGTCAAGACCAGCGCATTGGAAATTGAAGCTCGTGAATTCAAAGCGATCTTGGGGAATGATTGGAACTTGACTGCACGTTTCGAATCGCAAGATCCGGATGAGAAGATTTATGGAATGGGACAGTATCAACAACCTTTTCTCAATCTGAAGGGAACGGATATTGAGTTGGCGCAAAGGAATTCTCAGGCTTCGGTTCCTTTTGCTGTTTCTTCCAGGGGTTATGGGTTTCTTTGGAATAATCCAGGTATGTTCATCCCAAGAATTCTTTTGGGCATGTCTATATGAGAGAGGCTGATATGTGTCTAGGCATAGGGAGGGCGGTGCTAGGGAAGAACATCATGAGCTTTGAGGCGTATTCTACCAAGATCATGGATTACTGGGTAGTAGCCGGAGACGAGCCATCTGAAATTGTCGAAACCTACTCGTGAGCAACATTCCCTTTTTCAACATCGATGAGAAAAACACGTGTTAATAATTCCTAGTTCTGTCACGGGAAGAGTTCCCATGATGCCTGAATATGGTCTTGGTTTCTGGCAGTGCAAGCTCCGCTACGAAACCCAGGACGAGCTTCTGTCCGTGGCTCGAGAGTACCGAAAAAGAAACATCCCCATTGATCTGATTGTGATTGATTTCTTTCATTGGAAACACCAGGGAGATTGGGATTTTGACCTCAGATTCTGGCCCGACCCAGGTAGGCAAGCTCTTCCTCAATTTTATCAGGATTAGAAAGCTAATACTTTGTACAGATGCTATGATAAAAGAGCTGAAAGATCTAAAAATCGAGCTCATGGTCTCAGTTTGGCCCACAGTCGCAGTAGAAAGCCCCAATCACGCCCACATGCTCGAACACGGTCTTCTCGTCCAAAACGACCGTGGATATCGCAAAGTGATGCCCAATGATGAAGAGGTCACCTTTTTCGATGCCACCAATCCCAGTGCGCGTGCTTTCGTCTGGGATCAGATCAAGAAGAATTACTACGACAAAGGAATCAAAGTCTTCTGGCTCGATGAGGCAGAGCCTGAATACAATCCGTATGACTTTGATGTCTATAGATATCATGCTGGCCCGAACTTGCAGGTTGGGAATAGCTACCCTAGGGAGTATGCTCGTGGTTTCTATGAGGGCATGGAGAAAGAGGGACAGAAGAATATCGTCAATTTGCTACGATGCGCATGGGCTGGTTCGCAAAAATACGGTGCATTGGTTTGGAGCGGGGATATTGGGTCTTCGTGGGTTAGCTTTCGGAATCAGATCGCTGCTGGGCTTAATATGGGCATGAGTGGAATTTGTTGGTGGACGACTGACATTGGAGGGTTTCACGGTGGAAATCCAGATGATCCTGAGTTCCGAGAGCTTTTTACTCGGTGGTTTCAATGGGGCGCGTTCTTGCCAGTCATGCGTCTGCATGGAGATCGTGAGCCGAAACTTAGAGGATCAACGGGGTCTGGTGGCCATAATGAGGTTTGGTCATACGGCGAGGAAGTATTGAAGATCTGCACCAAGTATATTGAGCTCCGGGAACAGATGAGGGATTATACGCGTGGCTTGATGAAGGAAGCTCATGAGAAGGGAACACCCATCATTCGGCCGATGTTTTACGAATTTCCCAATGATCACAAAGCTTGGGAGGTTGAGACTCAGTACATGTATGGTGATAAGTACCTTGTTGTGCCAATCTTGGCTCCGAAGCAAAGAAAGATTACAGCTTACTTGCCCAAGGGGGCGAAATGGAAACAGGGAGGAAATGATCATGAGGGCGGTCAGACTGTCGAGGTTGACTGTCCCCTTGATTACATGCCAGTTTTCGAGAGACTGTAATTGTGAGATGTATGCTCGTCAAAATATATTAGATACAGCGAATAAATCAAATGGCACTCTGGCTCGCTCTTAAGCTTCCTACAACAGTAAATGCCAAGATAGGAGAGATGATATACGATACCTGTCAGGTTAATCAGTGGCATTCTAGCTTCCGAATGGCGTAGAAAGGAGGGCTGGTATTGACTTACAGTCAGAAGCTTCGCAATTTTATGTTCATCCTCTTCGCCAGCACCAGAAACTTCAACCATTGTAATAAGTTTCATTGCCGGAGCTCCAGTGGGCATTAACATCAAACTCTATCCGCTAATTAGTCATTCTGTTCAAATAGTGGTTGGGATGAAATCGCCGCGTCCTTGGAAGAACTTACAAACCAAAGCATAGGATCATCCCCCAGCAAATCCGTCTCCTTGGCCAAGAGATATATGATAGAAATAGAAATCACAGGCCAAAGCAAAAACCTAATGAAAAGTACAAATATCGTCGTCAACCAGGGCGTAGCAGCAGGATGGGAATCATTCCTGACTCGCTGCATAGACGTGTAAAGCGAGATACCAGCAACCACTACTGGCAGAGGGACAAATAAACTTCCAATATTCTTAAGCGAGGCAGTCAGCCAAGCCGAAAAAATCCCTCCCTCGATCATTTCACTGAAGAAAGCAGTATGGAGCGCAGGTACGAGACCAATGATAGCACCCAGAATGGCACCGAGAAGAGGAGCATTCAGGAAGTCGTAAAAAAATAGCAACCACCATCTCATTCTATCGCTCATTTCATACCACTTCCTCTTGGGAATGAGTGATGGTCGACGCTCGTAATGGAGCGCTCTATCATCAACGGATTCGAAGGCTTCTGATCCGCCAACAGCTGAACGGGATGGAAAGAACGCTACTGATGCCACGGAAAGACGGCGCTGACGTCCCCCAGATTCAATTAGATGAGTTCGATCGGTAGGCGAGATAGCACAATCGCTTGAAATACTTGAGTATCGATTTCCGCTGGTCCATCTATCGTCAGTGTGAAAATCTCCCTCAATTTCCTCGTCATCTTCCTTGTCTAGAGGATCGGGAGCATGTTCAGTATCGATGAGACGTGGTCCTACAGCGAACGTAAGACAGCTTGATACGGTGGCGAAAACCAGGAAATAACTCTTCGCTCTCTCGATTGCTTCTCGGGTCGTTTCATCGGTGACTATTAGGTGGCTCAAAATACCCGTTTCATTCAATGATTGAATCAAGAGCAAAGGATAAGAAGTCGTATTGTTGAACATGATAGCAGCTGTAATCCAGTCGGGCATTCCGAGAAGATAATGAGCTGCCACGCCAATGATGAAGGATAGTAGGTGACAAGCGAAAGCCCAGATAAGAATGATGACATATCGATGTGCTGATTCGACGTGTAATTCCGAACCAATTTTGGTGAGCAAAAGTGCCGGGAGAAACATCTTGACGCATATTTTCGAGATGGACTTGGTCGAGGAGCTATCGAGAAGCTTGAAACGGGCGGCAATGGCACCATAAGAGATGACCAGGAGGACGGATAAGCTGGCCTGAATGGCTGCTAGGAAGGAATTGAGGAGACCAGGGGGTGCCATTTCGTGAATATCCAATGCTTATTCTTTCAGCAATGTGAAGATATTTTCAAGAATTAAGGAAATCCAAATTGAGGCCGAGTTCCTTCTATGAGGATGTACAAGACGGGGGTCTGATTGTAGGTGCAGATCTCGACGTCGACCCCTCTACTTCTACGCCACCAACCGAGCAATTGACGGCAAAGAATGAGCTGGTGGCGGATTGCGACATAAAAATGAAAAAGAGGGAATTTGGGCAGCGATCATGTACTTTTCATGACCATGACTTCATGAAGTTCTTATCGAGAAACGATGTAGGACGAGCACGACGAGCCAGAAGGAGGGCTGGTACGTGTACTACACTAGCGATATCGATAGATAGGAGTAATTGACCAATGAAAAGGGGTGAAGGGAGCTGTTTTCCCCAGGGATTGCTTGTGTTCCAAAGACCAAGACCAACGAAAACAAGATTATATAATCGAGGACTAATACTCGTGCTTGTACTGCGCAGCAAAAGAAAACAAGACAATAGTCATTCACCGTCGTGGTGGGTTTCTCTACTGTACAAGTACTCGTATCGTGTATTTACTATGAAGCCATCGCCAAGTCTGACCCCTCTAAACAAACCCCTCGTCCCATTACTGTGCAGTACGAGTACGAGTACCCATACGCAGCAGCAACCCCGCCAGCAACAACACCATTACCAACCGCCCATTCTACACTGCTTGAATAGAACCGCAATCAGTATCCACAAATTTCTATGTGTCTCTAAAACGTCTCAACCTGATACCATGGCTCTTCGAGGTATCCTCTCAAGTCTATCTCGCCACTAACCGCCTCCTCTCGCAGATACGTCGTAAAGTCTACGGCCTCCGGGTTATCCGAGGTTGCGGCCTCGATATCCTTCTTCGCCCACCCATTTCCAAAATAGGCAAACCGATTCTTCGATGGCGAATGATACGTGTACTCGAAATCCTCCCATCGAACCTCCCTCCGTGCGATCAAGGCATGCGTCCCACTGCCAGGCCAGATGCCATGAATGCGACCTCCAATAATCCCTCCATTGTACCATGAACTACACTTCTCACTGATCACCGTATGCGGCATGAAGGACTCGCAATAAGCGCGGAAGTCATTGGTGGCCGCCCGGCTGGGGGTAATGGTGCGGATACCTTGAGTAGAGACCTTTCGCAAGATCTTGGAGATGTAGGTTGCGTGGGTTTCGATACTAAACGGAACGGTGCCGGCAGTCGAGTTGGAATTGGCTCCGAGGATGAGGAAGAGGTTGGGGAAATCAGGAGCCGCGATTCCAAGATACGTGTCTGGGAATCCGGGATTGCCTCCTGGACGCCATGACTTTTGCAAGTCAATACCATGAGCAATGATGGGAAAGGCCGATGAGAAGGAGATATCTGCCCCAGTACTACAAATCACGGCGTCGATATCTCTCGTTTTTCCATCAACCGTCACAATACCCGTCGGCGTAAACCTCTCGATCTTCTCCGCCACATATTCAACGTTATCCTGCGTAATTGCCTCCAAATACCCAGGTCCTGGTGTCCATCTGCGGCAACTTGGAGAGAAATCCGGTCGGATGGCTTCCAGCAAGTCGCTTCTTCCTCCGAGTCTATCTGCCGTCAGTTTTTCAAACAACGCCTTCGATGCAGCGCTTTTTTCATGTCGTTTAAGGATATTCGGGAACCGACTAAAGAAGTTATTCTCCAGCTGTTTCCGGTACAGTGTGTACCCTACAGGATCCTGTGGTATCTCGATGGGTTTGGTAGTGTCTCGACTAAGGTTCTCCCCTCCCAAGCTGCCAGCGATCCACGTCCGACTCCTGGCAAAATGGTAAAGTTGTTTTGCTTTCTGTTGTAACAGAGGTACGACCTGGAGACCCGAGGCACCATTTCCAATCACCGCAATCGTTTTCCCTTCCGGCTCAAAAGTTGGATCCCAGTTTGAGCTATGTCGAAGGTGGCCTTTATAACTTTCAATTCCGGGATATTCGGGAAGCTTGGGAAGACTGAAAGTACCCGTAGCGGTGATCAAAAAATCCGATTCTTCCGTGCGTACACCTCCCTCCGATCTGACTTCCACAACCCACTTCCCCTTGTCGGAGGACCATTCTGCCTTCAACACCTCGCTGTTGAACTGGATAAGTTTTCTCACATCGAATCGGTCGACTAGGCCTGACCAATAAGCTTTGATCTCAGCACCTGGAGCATAGTTGCTTGTCCATTTGGTGTTTGGTGCATACGAGGATTGATAAATGGTTGAAGGCACATCACATCGGACGTTCGGGTAGATATTTGTATTCCAAGTCCCGCCCTGAATCTGTCAGTAGTTGTGCTTTATCATAGGAAACTACTCACAATATCTGAGGTCTTTTCTAAAATCGTCAATTGAACTCCAGGTACTTTCCTAGGCAGTAAGATTCCAGCCGTAATCCCAGCCATACCCGATCCCACCACGATCACTGAAACCGGTCGAACCTCATCAATTGGGCGCTCCCTGAGCTCCAAAAATAGGTATATCGTTCTCAAAGGTTGTTTACCACCATCCTGGCTTGTCGGTTGCTGCCGGCTCTTTTCCTGGGTTGTTCTCACGGCGACTACATCTTCGTCGCTGATGAAGTGGGGGGCCATATTGATCTCCGTTTCCCTTATTCGAGCTCTTCTTCTATTCCAGCCTTCAAATTGTCGTAAAACGAACTTTTAGCTTTCGATCCTTTTTCTGTAGTCTGTAAGAGGGATCTTTTGTTCGCCGGACCGCAATCAAGAAATTGCACACCCGAAGACTGATAAAGTGTAGGTGTGTTGGTGGTAACTGCGAGGGTTAGATTACAGCATATTGTAGGTACTGTAGCTTCAAGCACGCAATCCACTAGCTGTATATCAGTCTTGGTGTTTCAGAGTTTCGCTACCCCCATTTTTGGAGCATTTCTGAGGGGGGTGTGGTAGTACATATTTCGTCTTATTAGGGTGACAGCACGCAATTATGCGGGGCTAGCACCAGTATATGAGATTTCATTCATTCATCCATTCACTGATTTATTTGTTTACTACTCGAGTACCTGCCTCGCTTTATTGCCCATATGCATCTTTGGAACTTGAAACTAGACTATTGGAAACTACTAACCCGAAGTAGCCTCTCATCTGGAATTCCGTTTAGGTGATATGATGTTTGCTCCAGCTCTGTTTCGTCGAATCGTCATTCTTTCTGTTATGTCGTCGTGTTTCTTTGTAGATAGTTGATGTTGAACTCTCTTATCTATTCATTTCATGTTATTCATATTCAACTGAAGTACTCGCTGTACTCTTCATTCGAAATTTCCCTTCTGATTCAGAAATCTTCGTGGAGTGAGTCTTGTATTTGCGTGGGATTTTTCGTTATTGTTCGTTATGCTGTACCTCCGTAGTGTACTTGATCTCTCCTCTTACGGACTTCTGTTTCTAACGGATCAGGATGTTTGCACGAGAATATCCAATGGATTTCTATGATACGAAGTTTGTATTTAGGATTTCGTTGTGGTTGGTTATGCTTGGTGTGTTGGAAGGGTGTGGTGGTTACAAGTGAGGTATCTTGTGAATATAGATATATTGATGGTGTGTTTTTGTTTTGGCTTTTGGGTAGTAGTAGCGTTTGGTTTCATTGACGGAGTGATTTATTTTGGGAGTTGGTAGTTTGATGTTGCCTCAATCTAATAAGTGGTATGATATCTTGGTGTACTTTGCGCTGTCCGTACTCGGTAATGTTCTTTTATTCCCACTCTCTTTTGTTCTCACACTCTTTCTTTCTCACTTCCTTTCTTTTTCACCCTCTTTTTTATTCCATCGATATGATCTTCCAAGGCTCATTCAGCATCCAGTTTGAGAAATGAAATAAAATCCTAGGGGCTATGTTTAGAATTGTCGAAGATTTTAACACCAGGGCGTGATATCTCTATGGAGTGATCTCATCCGAAGGCGATACAAGGTCAAAAGTTTTCGAACTTTTTAAAAAAGAGGTTGAAGTCGAGAAGAAGTAATTACGGGTCGAAGAATATTCAGACCCACTTTTGCGGAGGAATATGCAACCGACGTATTCTTTAAATGAAGCACGTCGCGTGCCATATGCAATTGATGTATTTTTTATTTCGGAGGAATGAAGACTATGGAGGAAATGAATGTTGATCTTCTTCTGGTACTTAATAGAGGCCCTTTCCAAAAATGTAGCAGATATCCAAAGCAAGTTCATCTGCCCTTCGTTATATGATACTGCACTCACTCACGTTTTATCAATTTTTCAATCAACAAAGCGAGTAAGTCTAAGAACAACAAGATGACTACCCCAAAACCAACCATAATCCTCACCGGCGCAAACGGGGGTCTAGGAATAGGCTACGTCCAAAACCTCCTCTCCTCCTCCTACGCAAGTACCCACCATGCAATCTACACAGTCCGCAACCCATCCACAGCAACAACCCTCTCAAACCTCCTCTCCAAAGTCCCAAAGAACCACTCTTCATCAACCATATCACTAGACTTCAATTCCCTCGCCAACGTCCGTCAAGTAGCCACCTCACTCAACACCCGCATCTCCAACGGCGAACTCGCACCCTTCCACACTCTAGTCCTCAACGCAGGCTGGCAAGAAGTCAACGCCTCAACGGGCAAACCCCAATCGTTTACGGAGGATGGATATGAAGCTCACTTTGGGATCAATTACCTAAGCCAGTTTTTGTTGGTCCTGTTCCTGTTGGGGAGTATGGATCAAGATGTTGGGAGGATTGTGATGGTGACGAGTTTTACGCATGATAGCCATGATCCGAGAGTGTGTGATTGGATGAAGTTGTATACACTCAGCTGCGGAGTTTCGAAGGAGATGTTTGGCAAAGGGGGGACGGAGGAGTGGGCCAGGGGTGTGGAGTATGTTGATGATGGGTATTTGGGGGGTATGAGGAGGTATGGAGCTAGTAAGTCGGCGATGTTGATGTTTATGTAAGTTTTACCCCGTCCTCAAGTTTAAAGCAAGAACACTAATAACAATAGGTACGAACTCCAACGACGTCTTGACTCTGATCCCGCGCTCTCTAACATCGGCGTTCTGACTGTTGACCCCGGTGCGATGGCCGGAACGAATCTCCTACGATCCAGTCCACCCTTTATACGATTCATGGTTAGCATGCTTTCGTATCTTCAAGGTATCTTGGTGTACTTTAATCCCAACGGCACTTGGCGCACAACGTATAAATCGAGTACTGATTTATTACTTGCGTCGTTTGAGAAGAAGTACCTTGGTGAGCATCCCAAAGCGCAGTTTCTTGATGGGAGCTTGAAATCTCAAGGTAGTGAGGAGAGTCGGGATTTGAAGAAGCAGCGTCAGTTGTGGGTGGATAGTTTGACGTTGGCTGGAATTAAGACTGGTGATACTGTTCTGATGAACTGGGTGGGAATGATGGACTTGGAGTGATAAGGGAACGTTGAAAATAAGAAACAGAAGTTGGTGCCGCTAGAAGATGGGTTCAAATCCCATATTTTCTGAACGACTTTTAGTATATTTTCTTGCATGTGTTAAGGTTAATTAATCTGTTTATATACAGGGTTTAGGAGAGAACAAAAAGATGGACAAAAACGTGAGCAGAGTCAAAGTTCATGTGGATTTGCTGCTACACGATACTTCAATAATCATATTCCATTAATACTTGAGTTGTTTGCAATCAATATGTCGGACCACCCTCACCGGTTTGCTAGTCTGCAGACCCAATCCCAATGCCTGGAGTGAAAAGCTACCATGCAGCCAACTCTTTCCATCCAAAATCACTTGCCATGCAATTGAATCCCAATCCCAATGTTTCGAATGGAAAGAGCCACGAGTCCATGAAGCCCACACTGACAGCACACCCTTCACACCTATGCCCATACTCTGTACACCGCAACGCTTTCACAAGTAGGACTCTGTGGGCTTTGGTTGCCCAAGACCCAATTCAAAGTCTGGTAAAGATATCCGTAGCGTGTGATGCAGATGAACCAACGGAAAATGGTGTGCTGGAAATCGTTGGGAAGAGGCAAGGTATCGTCTTGGACCAGGTTGATGCCAAGCTGGTTCTCTGCAGTGAAATTCACGAGTGCAGCACCTTCATCGCCGGGGAAGAGAAGCGGCAATGCAACGTTGGACGCATTGTTGTAATTCAATCGCAATGAGGATGATACGTTGAGGCCGACAGCAGGGAGAATCCACGTGAGAAGGCCGCTGGTTGACGAATTCTCAGAAGAAGATGTGTTGTAATAAAAGTGAGCGTAGGTGAAGTTCGTGGTAAAAGGCTGACTGAGGCAAAGACTCTCAATAGCAGCTCCTTCGTGACATGCTGTGAGATACAATCCGTCAAGGGTGGTATTTAGAGACTTGAGGGTGAGGTAGAAAGGTGGACTTTGAATATCGTAATATGGAGCTGGCTCTTCTTGGGCTGCGACTTGTGAGGCAGCAAAGACCAGTAACCCAGCAAAGATTGATTTGAGCATTTTGACAAATTTGTCCATGAGGGCTGAGCACTTCGAAAGGCGAGTTTGAGAGACAATCTGTTGAATTGTTTGTAGGAGAAGATGAGGAAAGGAAAGGGGTGGAGCAGGAAAAGATGATGCTCTTTATACACCGAGGAACTCGCAGCCTACAGGAAAGAGTTAGGCTAGAGCAAAGGTAAGCGATCCAGGAGATCTGCAGCTTCCCCGTCAAGAATGTCGGATGACGTTAAGTTGTTAGCTCGTATTCAGGGTGCACTTGATAAATCAGATAACTTTCTCGATAGTAACAGTAAGAGTTTACCTTTCGTGATAGCATATTTTTACCGTTTGTATTCAACTTTCTCGATAGCAAAAGTCTACCATCCGTATTCCAATACCTTGTGCCTGGTTGGTTCTAGGGTCACCTGCGTTGCTGATTTGTGACTTCGTCTCTCGCCTCAACAAGAAAAATCGGCAGGTATCACTTGAAAACCCTCTCCTCTTTCTGGACGGCCAGCACTGCTGACAACCAAGCATCACCTTGGTGGCAATTGCGGAATGTTACTTTTTGCCAACGGGCACTATGCGGGATACGCCGAAGACGAACACCATAGGCACCAAAATGTTGCAAGTATCCGTGTTCCTCTATCCCTATGATTGCAAGCTATTTCCGTCTTGATGTTAATCATACGATGTCGAAGCGCTTGCGGAGGAGTATCCGTGTATCCTATACACCCACTAGGTATCCAAGTCTCAACTTGGCTTAGAAGAACACGCTTCAACTCGACTTTCGGAGGGTTCATTGGAGTCGGATGGAATAGGACAGGAAGCGTACGGATCATCTGTACTCGTGGGTCGTCCTGCTAAACATCGCCCACACCTCATCGAGCCCGGTTTGTTTTGGTCTAAATATCAGCATTTCAATCCTTCTCGTCGTCCCTATACCAACTAGATGATGCCGGCGGAGAGTAGATCTAAGCATCACAATCATTCTCTGGCGATCGGGCCGCTCATGATTGTTCCCTGGAATCGTTGATGTTGAGGTATACTATACTTCTACTTGCACTGGGTACCGCAAGTCACCTCACCCCAACGTCCTCTCGGTCTTTTCATGGTGTTACTTCGGGCCTGTTCGTGCGTTATTAAACAGCAATCTTTCGTCGGAGAAACGTCATTTTTAATTATACGTCTCATGCTCAGGGCACCCTAAGGCACTGGGGTTCCTCGCCGAGACGAGCGCCGAGCCGAGGCGTTGGTGATGGTGATGATGATGGTTGAGTTGGAGAGTTGGAGAGTTGTGTGTGGAAGTGAAGGAGCGAGTAGAGGGGTGCAACGAGGGTGGATAGAGTAATTCCAGGCAGTTTGCCCCACGTTTGATAAGTTTACTCCTTACGTGCTCAAGCGATTTTATCATTCATCTAATATCTTGTTAAATATTCTTCTACCCACCCACTCTGAGTATCCTTCTTTATAGGACTTTTATCTAGAGAGGAATGTACTAAATAAAGAAATGTTGTAAATGTGATGGTAGAAAATGTGAGTGCCCGTGACTAGACTTTCTTTGGAAAATACCTACTATCTCCTAAACGTCGTATATATACATTTCGATTTTTAAGTTTACCATTTCCTATTTAAGAGGTCGGACCGGTCGAAAGAATACCCAGGCGCGCTACGAGGCTTGGTCTTAACGTACTCTGTGCTACTCAAGTTATACTATCGTCAAGTACTATACAAAAACTTCAAGTAGGTAATGCTTACTTAAGAAACGAAATGTACATAAGGAAATGCACATATACGAGGTTTAGGAGATATAACGATAAGAAAAGCCGCCATCTACCTATAAGGTCACACAAGCAAAAAGCTATGTTTTGGGGTTGAATAATATCTATATTTTGGTGCCTTACATTACAAAAATGAATGTAAAGGATATCACTTGGCGTTTATAATGATCACCAAGTTTCTAATATATATTTAGTAAATTTGACCATGGTTCAATCTGGGTACTCAATTCCCATAAGTGAATCTTTTCGTAACTAAGAGAGACTCTTATACTGAGATTGGCTACCTATATGGTTCTATTGATTGTTTGGGTCGTTTCCTGCCCCGTGAACGGCTATTATAAACAAGTATATCGATATTTTTACCTCTTTAATAATATTCTCATCTTCTATAACTGGGAATAGCGTTGTAATCATGTGGCAGAGGTATAACTCTAACTTTTGTTCTTCTCTTGAAAAGCGACAAAATATACTTTTCCATTCTAAACTTGATGGCATTGCCCCTGTAAGCCGTCCCATCGCATGTTCATCCTCTCTGTAACGTCATGCTTCTACATACGAGAACTGGCGATAATATTTTATATGCAATCTTTTTCTAATGAGATGACAATAATATCAATATTTTCAACTTTTTGCCCACTTGTATATCAAGCGGTTATCAGCTACACACTCGTTTTTTACAAGAAATCGTTGTTGAAAAGATTCCTTAGACACTCTTTTGTAATTCAAGATGCTTTTCAATACCTTTACCCTCGTGGCTTTCCTGGTGTCAGTGTCAGCAAGCCCAGTCACACCTGAAGAACAACTAGCACGGATTCCTTTAGGCAGATATGACCAATGGGTGGTGGGTGGGTGGAGAGCATTCTGCGATCAAACACAAGACAACTACTGTCAATATGGTTTGTGGCCCATCTTTTGGCACAAGGAAAGCAAAAATTATTGGTACTTGTAAACTAACATCAGTTTCAGATTTCGAGATCGTGGGAGGCGAAATCAAGGGCCCTGACGTACACGTACCGGGCTTCAGGGCAACTTGTGGTGCTATATGGCAAATCAAAAAAACTTTTTATCCCATGAAATGCCAGATCGGTGAAGAAACTCCTGGGATTAGCAGCGGGAATACCACTAGAAGCATGAATGTGAAGTTGCTTACACCGGAAGATAATCCAAAAGGTCTTCTCCAAGTTAGCTACAGCTTTGCGGAACCAGGTAGACCACCAAGGCAAGCATTTTGTGAGTGACTCTTTGCTAGGAAAGTGGCTAAAGATTTTTTCTAGTGAGTCTTTCAGTTTTAACTTAACGAGTTATTACCGACCGCCGTTGGATGCACCTGGTGCGAGCAGATTCAATATGTCGGTTCAAACCGCCGAGTTAGTGCGGTAGAAAACTCAGATAATATGCAATTAGTATTTATCGCATTAAGATTCCAGACACCACTTTTTTCTTCTTTTTTTCCCGGGACAAATATGTGATAACTCTATTGCCATTTGAGATGTTCTTACTCCGTAAACGTATCCTTCTCCATAGGTATTCCACACATCAATCACAAGACTATACCTCGTTATTTCAGGTATGTTCTATGGGCTGTGGGTCTATCAGGTACTCCCAGTTAGAACATCAACAACCTCAGTTCACAATCGCACAAGAAAAGCTACGCGCAAATAGCCAGCTTCGTTTGTGGAACTCATACCTAAAACGGCTGTTCCTAGTACAACGTGACGTAAGATGTACACGTAAAATAATCTAGATAGCTCCTCCTGTCATCTGTGCCATCTATTTCTTTGGCGTGTAAGATGCTCAGATGAAGAACCACAACTTCAGAATTTTTCCATCACTTTGAATCCACGCAACTTCGAACAAGCGCCCGTCCACTTATTACTCCGGAGGTGTTTTCAAAGCAAGCGCTTCCGTCTCATCACCAAGATCATCGCCACATTTTGCCCCTTTCAGAGCATGAATTCTCGTCTCTTAGACTCTTAAGCGGGTCAGCACCTCCCGTCCAGCCAACAACGAAGGGAATAGATTAATGGTCAGATTGTCATCCTCGCAAACCACGTTTTTTCGGGCATTTCTAGTTGATCGCGACCCTTCATGCGCTCCGTGCTGCGTGGGGACAGTTGCCGAGAGTTTCGAAACGAACAACGATGGTGATTGAAATACATTGGATTCCCCCCTGATTTCCGGGATTTGAGTTTCAAGATTTCCATCTTGCTCGCCACGCTCATTCAATCACGCTCACTCACGCTCGTTTTCGTTTTCTTAATCTTTTCAAAGCGCCTGGAGACGCTCTCTACTCTCTCCCAAGACACTCATTTTGGGTTCAGAAGCCGATTTCGCTTCTTGACTTTGCTCTGCTTCTTATACCCCTTTTTGCTTTTTCTTTCCTCGTCTCGTCTAGCGTCCCGTCCCGTCACATCATGCTGCTCCACATCTTCCAGGCTGTGATTCCTGCGCTTCTATTCTCAACGCTGGCCGATGCTGTACCTGCTCATGATCCAACAATACCCGAATACGTACCAGTCACTGGTTCTCTTCTGCCGGTAGTCAAGGAAAGTTTATCGTCAACACCAACAAATCTACGCACGCCCACACCCACGCCCACACCCAAGCCTCTTCCTGCAAATGCACCCATTGATGCAGGGCCTATACCAGAATATGTCCCCGTCGGCGCACCCCTTTTGCCTGTTGCACCTCCCTCCAGACCAGTAAATACTGGTAAAGAACCCTCACCACCGATTCTTGCATCACCCAGTCCGTTACCAGCCCACTCAGTACCAGTCAACAACTCAGCACCAGCCAACTCTCCCAACAATTCTGTGGACAAACCTATTCCAGAATACGTCCCTGTGGGCGCTCCTCTGCTACCTGTCGCCCCTCCCACCAGACCAGTGCAAACCAAACCAGCAAATACTACAGAAAATACCCCAACAGCCGTTCCGAATGTCGCTGCGCCGCCTCCACCAGCCAAAATTCCCGACAATGCATCACCACTTCCAGAATTCACACCCCCAGGTGGAAATCTTTTACCTGTAGCCGAACCCACAAACAAACCTCAGAAACCCGGGACGCCAGTTCCAACAACTCCAACTGCCTCACCACAGCCTACAGATGCCCCCCCAACCAGATTTACTTTACCCGGCGAGGGCCAATTAGTTCCAATCGCAACTATCACCATGTCGCCTTTACCTGTTGCCACAGGTGAAGCTCCACCATTTGCCAAGGCTACTACGCTTCCACAATTGCTCAGTATGATCGGGGAATATCTTGGTATAGTGGATGATAGCCCAGCTCCCGCTCCCGCCCCCAAAGGCGCCAAGGATATTGAAAGTGCCAGGCCGGTCGGATATACTGAAGATACTAAAGACTCTGAATAGTCTTAAAAAACGGACGACGTCGATGAGGAGTCGTGAATACTATAGACAAGGAAGCATGTAAAAGGGGGTTTAATGTTGATTTAGCTGATGCTAAACATCAAGAACCATCTAGTTAGACCACGTCACTAGAATAATTTTACGTTCTTTTTTATTATATATTTATACTGTATATATTGTTTTCGGAAGACCCGATGTCTTGAAGTATATAACTAGGTTCGCTTACAGTTCTATCACCAATTCTTTATATATTTCTAAGTTTTATTGAAATGATCTCTAACTGATCTGTGGATTGGAAGTGGTAGTGGCTAGACAACTGATAAAATACGTAATGCGTGTTAACTTAGCGTACATTAGATAATAACACCTGGGAGGTCTGGTTATGGTTTCTTAACATTATTCTCACCTATGTTCCCTTTTCTTTTGTCTATGAGGAGCTGTCTTCTAACGCTTCTGGGCAACCGCCAATTTTTCTACAGTTTGAGAGTCAGGGTTTACGAGGTACGAGCTTTCTTTTCCGCTAAGAGCCAGGCAACATTTGCCGGTTTGCATATTTGTTTCTCGTTATTGGAATATCTTTTGAATGCATACCCATAGGACGACGGTCCTTTCGCAAAAGCGACATGAAAGCATGGCGATAAAAATTGCCGTGTCAAGCAATATAATAGCAGAAATTTGAAAAGAGCCCCCAATAACCGTACAAAAACGCACACAAACTCACAAAACTTCCTTAATAATTGAGTCAAGGGACAGTAGCGTTTTATATTGCGGTGGTACACAGCGCTTCTGTGACACCGATATCACGTAGGTCTGTATCTCATCTTCCGCATGCATAGGCTAAATTCATGCCTTCATGATTTAGCGCCTGAGAGATGAGAAGTTAAACTTCAAACTACGCATTTGAAATGGATGCAGTTGCAGAAAACCACCAGCCAGATGATGATGTTGTTACTGAGAATGGCGGGTCTGGCTCTGACTCCGAGTCCAGCCCAGATCTATTCCCTCATGAACCCGAGGTCGAACCTGACCATGAGGCTACCAAATCCCAGGATCTCGTTCTTCTCAAAGCAGTAAGAGAAGGGGATAAAGAGGGACTTCTGATTGCATTGAGAAATGGTGTCAGATTGACAGCCAGCCAGAGATGACGATGGCTGTAATCCACTACACTTAGCCATTCTCCATGACCACGAACCCATGGTCCAACTCTTACTTGAGTTCGGAACCCACATCGAAGGAAGAACAAAAGATGGCACTAGACCCCTGTATATGGCAGCCGGAAATGGAAACACGAGGATGGTTGAAATACTGCCAAAGTTTAGAGCTGACGTGGATTCTCGAAATGCGATCAAAAAAACTACGGCTTTGTACGAGACAGTTTCCCGGGAGAATTTAGAAGTTGCTGAGATTCTGCTAGCCCATGGTGCTGATATTGATGCAAAGGGCCCGGATGGTCATACGCCTTTGTCAAATGCAGTTTTGAAGGGAAATTTGCAATTCGTCGAGATGCTTTTACAGCATGGAGCTCAGAAAAATACAGCGCTTTCCAATGGTCGAACCATAGAAGATCTAGCTATGGGCGATAATATGATGAGAGATCTCTTGCAAGATGACCCCGTCCTTCAAGGTCCATCCATAAACGGGAGGCACAAAGATGCAGGATAAGCAGCGGTCTTTCAGATGGTATCATTTTCCGGCAAATAATGTAAGCCTCTAAAAATATCTAACTGTAGATATGCGTATTGACAATCTACTAGATAGAATGGGTTGAGGTAGCTCTCCTATTTGTCTTTTGTGAACCGATAGTTGACCCCATCTAGTGTTTAGTTACCCACATCTTAGCCGAACGTGGAGCTGGCTTCTCTATTTTTGGTGAGGAGTTGAAATCGAACCTGGGCTTGACGCATGCTGTCGATCGACAATTTCGAGCATCGACGGCGTATTTTTCCTTTATGAGACCGCTGTGTCAAAACGTCAAGGTAAAGCTTATAGACTTTCCTTGAGATTTCGGCTTGGCTCCTACACATCTTATACTCTTCGTTTGTGGTCGAAATGGGTCTTCTATCTTCTCTTGTTATGTGAATTTGCCAGACCAACGTTCCACGTACTTGCATTATGGATTTTGACTCCACAAATAGCCCCATCCAAAGTCGTCTCTGAGAAACTCTGGAATTCCTCCTATCGTGGCTTTTGTCAGTAGCTCCTGGTAACATGCACGATAAGATAGTTGACTGTTTCAATAGATCCCTTTCCTACACTTTGAGACCTCCACAAGCAACGAGGAAATGTCGCGAATTGTACAAGAAATCAAAGATCGAATGCACCGTGAGCGTACTGATGCAAATCCAAATTCCTGGATTATGCCGCGCCCACTCAAGCGCAAGGAGAAACAAAGGAAACGACAACCTTCTACGATAGCCGAAGACCCCGAAAATGACAGTATGCCTGTAGAGAACGAGGAGGCGTAGAGAGGACCTCGAGGCTTTTTACATAAGCTAAAGCTCAGATCGGTCGTTGGAAGCCTCGGATGCCTATTTTTGAAAACGAGGCCATTTGCTAGAAATCCGGAGAAAGTCCCAGACATGGATATAGAGAGAGGTTCAGGCAAAGATGATGTGGCCACTTCAAATACCAAGGTAGCTCCAGGACTACCCGAACCAGGCGCTGGTTCCGCGCAACTGCCTCTATTAGCAACCAATAAAGAAAGCTCTCTAGTTGACCCCGGAAAAGTAGCAGTGTCTCAGCCCCCCGGAGATCTCACAAGCAAGCCCAAACTACAGCCGGGCGTCCTGCCCACTGCAGCAAAGCTAAAATCTGAGAGGCCTACACAAGCCATAAATGACCAGGGTCTCAAAGAAATTAGTAATGAAATGAACTCTGTCTCGAAAGACGTAGCCAGCCATCACATTGAGGGCGGCGGTGGCACGCTCATGATACAAGAAGGGTAAAAAAGGCAAGCCCTCACTCCAATTTGACATTTTTGCCCTGCTCAAAACCTCAAGCAAAACTAACGAGTAGGATTTCGACACAGGAAAGACTCCCATACAAAAAAGCGACCGAGGAAACAAATGTGAACATCTCATCAAAGGGTACTATTACGCACCAAAATCAGATAGTGTTGCGCCATTACAGCTTAGAAGAACCCTCGACCAGTACTTTTACACCCACCTTCCCAGTACCACTCACAGAGATCGAGATCAAGTTGTATGGCGATATTGCCAAAAAAAACGGGTTGGAGCCTAGAACACTCATGGCGGAACAACTTTGGCTATGGGTGCTTGACAGTGGTGAAAAGCGTGGAAAAGACCAGATAGCACAGAACTGATTCATTATAGACATTGTTATAAGTTGTTTACCCCAACAATGGAGATCGCAGACAAGCATGCCCGAAGGCTCAGCTGATCCCACGTCGACAACTACACCTGTGCATCGCTCAGTAGAACCAACAAATCCGGATCTGCTCCAACATCAAAGTGGCCCTCTTCGTTCCGACAAGCTGCTTTCCATTCCCCCTCCTGAAGCTAACAAGCCTGCAAATAATCCACCTCCGAAAGACGCTCACCCTATCAACGTGGAGCTTCACTCAAAATATCTCAAAACTAAAAGCAATATAAAAGGAAAGGACGGAATCCTAGAATGGGTTGCGGGGACAAAAGGAGCTGCGGCGTTGATAGATGAAAAAGAAGAGCCGGCTAAATCCAAAGTTTTTGAAAACAGTGCGAAGCGGTCACCATCAGAAGAGAAACAGCCAATTTTGCTAGATAAAGCTATAGATGTCTATCAAAGAATTCTTATATACCTACGAGCGATATAGACCAGGGAGCCTCATGGTTTCGTGAAACTGGTATTTGCTCTCAGAATGTCAAGCCTTCCAGAACATGGATTTTAGTGAATGGTTGTTCGACAAGTTTTTTGGTTTTCTCTGGAGATTAGACTAATTAGGGCGTTTATTCAAGTTCTCTCGCTGACAGATATGTGTAACGAAGAGGATGCAAGTGTTGAAGCAAGTGGCCATGTGACTATCTGTGTCGTACCAACCACCTATATATGCCAATTTTCCTTCAAAGTCTCCAAGAATCACACTTAATCCAATATAAATCTATTATCCATATCATCGCATATCACCAGTATTACCTTGCTGCATTAGAGTAGGCTCATAGCTTCTCATAATATTTTCTGGACACAAAATACAATTCCAGCTACCTAAAGCTTTTAGGCGCCATAGCTAATGCGATATATGACCCTAAAACGGAATCCCACATCTTTTGTTATCCAAAGGCCACCAGTCAGAAATGCAGCTGTGATTCGCTTAACCCCTGTATCAGGATAATCACGTGATGGACCATCTGGATGACTTCAAGGTTGGTATTTCTGTAAATCCAAGATCTTCGATAAGAAGGTCCAGCTCCCCGAGTGGCGTTATCAAATCCACAAAAGATGGCTACTCAATACTTACCGATAACCGGCTGCCCGGATTTTCGGACATTTAATCCATATTTAGTACACGAGCCGGCAGGCTGACATTACATTATGTGTGTAACCTCAAGTCGACCTCTTGTTACCAACCATAACCCATGCCTCGTATAATTGTGTTTAGGATAGTCGGTACTTTTCTCCATTCGAAGAGCTCCTCTTAAATGTTGTAAGAATCGCAAACTGGTTCGATGGACATGATTCTTGTATCTCGCACATCTTTTGTACCTAACCCCCCTGAACCCCCTCACAAACCGGACTTGCAAGAGAACCCAAGAAAGGTAGATCTCCGCAATGTACTTTTGTGGCGCATTCCGGCAGCTTGGGTTTTCTCAGCCAAGACGTTGGTTCCTACGAGATCACACCTACCGGTAGTGTCTTTGATAAACAGGAAAACACAGAGCCGCGACACGGAAAATTCCCAAGTGAGTTGATAGATCAACATCATATTTTGTTATTTTAAATATTTTTACTCAGAGATAACATAAAGAAATAACGGTTCTTTCAAATACAACTGATTGACAACTCGTTCTAACAATAGCGCGGTCTTATTCCATTGAAAGAAATACTTACCCCTGTCACCACGAGGCACAGTAAATATACCGCATGGCTAAGCCAATCAATTGTCGAATCCATTCTACGCTGCATTTGGGGTCTGCGGGGACGATGAGCTCCCTGTGCAGCAATACTAATCCGGCCTGCGTTGCGAAGAAGAATGACATCTGAACGCCTCACATTTCAAATATTGCCTACATGATGACGAAAGATCGTTCCCATGATACACACATCACCCCACTACACGGGCCTCCTGAAGGCACTGAAAGTCTGGAAAAGCTTCATTCAGCTGGATTCCCAAGGAGTCTTACCCTGTCCCCGCAAATATTCGGACGGTGGAATGCCATTTCCGCGACCCTGAACCTGGCGACGTGGTTCCATGGCGGGATTGAACCGTAAAGGGGAGATGGTTGGTTCTGCAACGGAAATTCCCACACGGCAGAGGACCATTGAAAGTGCGCATGCTAGGTAAAATTGGTGATCTATTACCAGCTTGCTGGATTTATTATTGTGTGATGTAGAAAGACCAGAAAACAGAGTCTTTTCAGAGTATGTAAGTTGGTTGATATGATTATAGTAGAATACCATCAAATGCAAGACGTTGCTACATAACCTATACGGAGGCACTTTCATCTGGTCCAGTTGTCACATCGTCCAGCTACTGTACTTTCCTCGCCCTTCAGTTTATTTCTAAAATAGTCAAAAGGCGCATGGAGTGGCATCCAATTGCAGCTAAAGGCCGACCCCACCCTTGAAATCCAGGTATGAAAGCCCAGCTTGTCATCCTTTCCCATGATCCTCCCCTTGCAATCGAGACCCTTGCGCCATTAGAGCTGATGCGGCACTGCTTCAAAGCTCGTTGAATGACCAAATTCTCGGAATTTATCTCGAATGGCCCCCCTTTCTATCTTAAGCATCGTCGTATTTTCTTGACGTGCTTTCAGATGTGATCGAGAAATGTACCCCGAACTCTGATCAAGAGGATGTACAGTACCAGAGAGCTGGAATATATCCAAATGCAACTTCGTCCTTCGCTAGGTACCTGGGGTTGAACGACAAAACCAAGTACCAGGGAAACGACGCAACAAACCTTTCTCCAAATGACCAACCCTATGCCACCGCCTGAGCTCCTGGGTGCTCCACCTGGAACCATACCAAACCTTGTGAATCCAGTTAATCAGACTGAACTTTTCATCGTTCTACATTCAATATGCCTGGTGATCATAACGCTTGGTTTGGCAATGCGATTATATACTCGGAAATTCATTGTTAAGAGATCGAAGGTCGACGATTGTAAGCTTGCACTACTCTCGACCAATATCTCTACTAATATTTCCAGATCTTTGCGTGTTTGCTTATGTACGTGGTTGAGTGTTTCAAATTGAATTCTACAATTGCTGACTGGGAATCAGCTATTAACGGGCTCTGGAACGGGTGTCAATCTTCTGGGTAAGAACAAAACAACACCAATAAAGGGGCTTTATATTTGAACATCTGTTCTGACACATTCACAGCAACTTTGGAAGGTAATGGAACTCATATCTGGGACCTCGATTGGGAGGGTGATCAACTAAAAAGAATCTTTCGTGCAAGTTGATTTACCCAAAAAACTTTGGCTTTTCTCTGACAAAATAATAGCCTTTCTCCATTGGAATATGGATTTACATTATTACCGTCGCAGTCATAAAACTAGCTTGTTTATCATTTTACAGAAATATCTTCATGTCCATTCGAAAAACTCTAATGTTCGTCAATGTCGGGATCATTGCGGTTTTGGTTCTGTACACCGTCATGCTTTTTGCGCAGGTATTTCAATGCGTTCCAGTGGCTGTTTCCTGGGACAATACGATAGACGGCTATTGCACCAAGGTTCATTTTGTAACTTACTATTCAGGATTTGTCAATACCTTTAGCGATATTTATGTTTTGATGCTACCAATACCGGCAGTTTGGGCTTTACCCCTTGCACCGACACAGAAGCTCCAAATTCTTTCCGTTTTTGCTCTTGGCCTCATGTAAGCCATTTTGAGTTTTATATGGGAAAGAATCTATGCTAACAGGAGTTCAGCGCTACCACAATGAGTGTTGTGAGACTTGGCATGTTTTTTAGGCTTTATAATGGCTCCAGAGATTCGACTTGGGAGTTCGCAAAAGTGGATGTTTGGTCGTATGTTTTCGTTTTCATCTTCGTCTTTCAGCATATATTCTATCCATCCACTGACGTTGTAAAGTGCATTGGAAGTGCATTGTGGTCTCTTGTGTGCCTGCTTTCTTGTCTCCCAGCCTTCATCAAGCGACACTGGCCAAGAAAGCTGACATCCTTCTTTTCAAACGTCCTTCACAACAAGATCAGAGACGAAGAGAGCCCCGTGACTGTCCGCGAAACACGTAGCTCAAGGGAAGATATTTCGCATTTGGAGTAGTCCCGGAGAAACCGATCGGATGAAGTCATCTTGACGTTGGGTAGCCAAATCTCGGAAGGATTTCGTGAGAATACTGCGACGCCACCCCCTGTGATCTTTAACGCCACAAGACCTTTAGCTGATTTAGAACAGCCAAGTTTGAGCTTCTCAACATGCCCTTCCGCGGGTTTCGTTGTGCGTACACTCCCACCACTATTCGGTGGCAACGAAGATCATAAAGATCAGGAGATGAATTATACAAAATGGGGAGGGCCGATAGGTGGAGGCTCTTACATTGAAGGAAACTCGGATGGATGCGGACCTATGGGTGGTGGGCCTATGGGTGGCATGTAAATGTACGTTTGTTTGAGGATCATGTTAAGATTTGTTAGAGGGATAGGAATTGGTTCACGGCGTCTAGGTTTGGTATTGGAGCTCAAATGGAGTTTTATGGTCTAGTTATGAACCAAAAGGACGGTCATAATCAACAGGGGACTTGGATTTGGGTATTATTGGTTGGGCATTGGCGTCGCTGTACAAGATGGACGGTACAGTACAGACTGTTTGAAGTATACTTCTTTGATATTGTTGTGCTGGGTCTACTTTCTCTTTTGCTCCACTTCCTTATTTGATCCACTTATAGCTCTGCTGCCTAAATGCCTCATGTCTGCCTAAACCTTACACTCTTTATATAAACACCTTAGATAGCTACCTTTTACAATGCAATCAATTCTCCATGACCTTCAGTACCCAATACCCTTTCAACCCAATAGATATTTATGATGCTTTGTAGAACAATATCAATTAGTTCTAATACTGTTATTATAGTAGAAATCTCTATTCAAGGGGACCTGCAAGCGTTCAATTTCCCGCCCTAAGAAAGAAGAATTTGTTGTTTTTGGATATGATGATTCATCAATTCAATTCGGAAAAGATGGTCTAGTCTACTGTGTTCAGTTACTCCTTCCTGCTGATTGGATATGGTAACGCCGATTATTCATAAGTGAATGAAGGGAAAAGTGCAACTTGGCCTAGTTTTTGTACAACTTTGACCTCACAGACGAAGCTGTAGAGAGACGATGGGAAACTCAACCGCACAAACCGCAGAAGTGCTGCTCAACCAAACATAAATATCTTGATTAATATATTAAGTCACGTGTGAAGTCACGTTTTGATTTACAAAACGTCCACTGATAACCTGGAATATTACGATACAAACGTTAGATTCTTTTCCAGTAAGATGTGATGCGAATGAAATTCATGATAGCACTTAACTTTGGCTAATTTATATCAAAGCTACGTTGAAGATAAACAAACTACCTAGTAAGCTAGGAGATTAGGTTATACGCCACTTCAAGTCTAGCGTACAGTACCTAGGTAACACTAACCAAGACCAACAACAACTTCACGCCGTTCGGTGATTTCTAAATCTTTTCCCGAGCAACTCTGCTGTAACTCCAGAGGCTCCTTTGACATCAATCCAACTTTCAAGACATAAGGTACAAAGGTTCGTCAATCACATCTTACGTTACGCTAAATCACCGAAAACAAACGTGAACATGGGTGCCACATTGTCCCAATTCTTCCCTCCTACCCCTAGTTTGACGGAGAACAATCTACCAAGCCAGCAAGGACGAACTTTTCTCATCACAGGAGGGTACTCAGGCGTTGGTCTGGAGCTCTCGAAAATTCTATACTCTGCTGGTGGGAGTGTCTACATAGCAGGACGTTCCGAAAGTTCTGCTCGAGCTGCAATCGAAGAAATCAAAGCGGGAGCGAAAAACGTGGAAGGCGCTGGGCATTTGTCATTTCTATATCTTGATCTATCGGACCTCAGTTTGATTAAAGGTTCGGCGATGGAATTTCTTGAAAAAGAGGGGAGATTAGATGTTCTTTTCAACAATGCTGGGGTCTCTCAACCGCCTGTGGGAAGCGTAAGCAAACAGGGGCATGAACTTCAGGTGGCCACGAACTGTCTTGGTCCTTTTCTGTTCACTTCTCTTCTTCTACCCGTTTTGAGAGAAACGGCTGCGAGTTTAAATGCTCCGGAAGGATCGGTACGAATTGTTTGGACGTCTTCCCAGGTTGTTGACTTATCTGCACCCACAGGTGGCCTTGTAATGCAGGAGCTTGATACGCCACCTAAAGATAATTTTGGAAATTATGTCAATAGCAAGACAGGAAATTGGTTTTTGGCTAGTGAGTTTGGAAAACAGGTGAAAAATAACGGAATATTGAGTGTAGTGCAGGTAAGCGATTGCTCGTAACGTTTCTACTAAAACTACCCTGCTACTAGAAATTCAGCCAGATGTCTTCCAAAGAAACCAACTTGCGCGAAGAATCCAGGAAATCTAAAGACCAATCTGATGAGGAACAAAATATGGATGATGTACATGAGTTACCCACTTCTTTACCCAGGAAAGCTAGGCGCATACACAGCTTTATGGGCTGGTGTTAGTCATGAATTGAATCTGGATGATTCTGGAGGATATGGTCTGTCTCCCAAATCCACGCCCGCATCCATGTCACTATCACATGTTTCTTGTAAAATTTTGCCCGTAATATACTAATGTAACGTCTCTTCAGTAATTCTGTGGGGCAGAAAGCATCCTGGACCACGAGTGGATCTTCTTGATGCTCTGAAGACCATAGAGGAAGCTGGCACTGGAAGAGCAAATGAGTTTTGGAAGTGGTGTGTGGCAAAGACAGTTGATTACTCTTGATTACGAGTCTGGCGTACGAGAATACTAAAGGGAGAATCTTTACTGGAGTTTACTATTAGTAGTAGTAGTAGTAGTAGTAGTAGTAGTAGTAGTAGTAGTAGTAGTATTTTTACGCCGGACAGAGCACTAGGGAAAGCTAGTTTTCCTATGACCTCCCGAGGAGTATAAGGGCGTACTAAGCTAAGGATTTATATATAAATAGTAGGCTCTATTAACGTGCATGTATAGCGAACCGGCCAAACAAGCGAACCGGCCAAAACCCGGCGACCCCACCACACCTCCACGAAATATTAAATTTCTCTACAACGAAGGATGCCTCTGAAAAATGACGAAAGCCGGTTAGTCTTAGCTATCCAAGCTATGCAAAAAGACCCAAATTTACGTGCTCGAGCTGCTGCCAGGACCTATTCTGTAGACCACCGGAAGCTAGGTCGACGTTTGCTTGGTATACCTTCACGACGCGATATTTTAGCCAATTCACGGAAAATGACCGAGCTAGAGGAATCAGTACTTGTTCAACATATCCTCGACCTAGCTACAAAAGGATTTCCTCCGCGGATATCTGTAGTTGAAGATATAGCAAATCGACTTCTTGAAGCACGCGACGCGCCACGCGTCGGGACGCGTTGGGCTTATAACTTTGTTAAGCGCCGCCCAGAACTCCAGACACGCTTCCAACGAAAATACGACTATCCGAGAGCTAAGTGCGAAGATCCAGAAGTCATTCGTGGCTGGTTTGAGCTTGTACGAAACACAATAGCGAAGTACGGAATCTACGATGCAGATATCTACAACTTTGACGAGACTGGGTTTATGATGGGCGTTATCTCAACTGCAATGGTTATTACAAGCTCAGAAGGACGTGTAAAAGCAAAAAGAGTACAGCCTGGTAATCGGGAATGGGTTACAGTAATCCAGGGGGTTAATGCCCAAGGCTGGTGTGTTCCACCGTTTGTGATTGTTGCCGCAAAAAATCACCTCGCTTCTTGGTACCAAAACAGTGGATTTCCACCTAACTGGGTGATTGCTATTACTGAAAATGGTTGGACAACAAATGAGAAAGGCATGGATTGGATTCGACATTTTGAGAAGCATACAAAGTCCCAATCTATTGGTGGTTATCGTCTATTAGTCCTCGACGGCCATGAAAGCCACCACTCCGACGAATTTGAGGAATATTGCAAGGAAAACAACATTATCACTCTTTGTATGCCTGCTCATTCTTCTCATATACTCCAGCCACTCGACGTTGGCTGTTTTAGCCCTTTGAAAAGGGCATATGGTCAGCAAATTGAAGATATGATGCGGGCTCCGATCATCCATATTACTAAGGATGATTTCTTTCCTGCCTTCCACGCCGCATTTAATATTGCAATGACAGAAAGCAATATCCGAGGAGGGTTCCGAGGGGCTGGGCTTCTTCCATTTGACCCAGAAAGTGTAATTTCTACACTTGATCTTAAGCTAAAGACGCCAACGCCTCCAAACTCCCCCCCGTATTCCGCTCAGCCTTGGGTTTCCCAGACACCAAATAACCCTACTGAAGCCTTATCACAGACTGCATTTATTAAAGATCGAATTTTACGCCACCAAAGTAGCTCTCCAACCCCTATTTACGAGGCCATTGACCAGTTTACGAAGGGTGCATCAAAAGTAATGCACCAGATAGTACTATTGAAAGCTGAGAACCAGAGACTTCGACAAGCAAATGAAGTACTAAGTAAGCGCCGTAGAGCCAAAAAAACACGCCTACAGCAAGGAGGATCACTTAGTCAACAGGAAGCGCAGGACCTACAGGATGATAGAGACGTTGGTGAGCAGGTAATGCAGGAAATAAAGAGAAGTAGTGGTCGGAAGCCGAGGGAATAATCACGTGCACGGCGCTGTGGCAACTGCGGAGAGACTGGTCATAATACGCGCACCTGTAATATTATAGAGGAAGTATCTGAGGAAGAAATTTCTGAATAGTGTTTTTTAATTAGAGGCGTTGTGGTAGAGTTCTTACAATTTCAATCGCGAGTGTAGAAAATTTTGGCCGGTTCGCTTGTTTGGCCGGTTCGCTATACATGCACGTTATAGTAACCGGAGAAAGTATTTTATATATAAGGCTACGGCTTTAAAGCCTATTAAGTATAACTCTTCTACGCTAGTTAGGATAAGTACTAGAAGGTCCTATAGGATTTCTCTATCTAGTAGTATTAGTTCTTTAACTAAAGGAAAGATAGCCATCCCGCTATACTTTCGAGGCTTCGTAGTAGTACTAGTTTTAACGCTCGTAGGGTAGTAATAAAGGAAAGATTATTTTTATATTTTATAGTAATTACCTAAGAAAGATCCCCTATATTTATATAAGTCTCTAACGCTTATAGAGAAAAATAGCCTAAAAGGAAAAAGAGAAAAAGAGAGCGAGTATATTAGTATAGGTGTGAGGGTTGGAACCCATGATGGAGGCTCGGGCCATGCCCTCGCTAAGCACTGACCAAAGTCCCCGCTCAGCATTGGCCATTGCTTTACTGCTAAATTGGTTTCTCCTTTTCTACACTTTTCTACTCTATTCTTTTGACGTCACGTATTTGTCAAACAGTTTCTTGGAAGACTCAGAAACTCTTCCTCTCTCTATATATAGAGGAAGAGATTGCATTTATGTAGTCTTCACGCACTTCTTAATTGAATATTCGAAACCACACCTTTGAGCTATTCGAGGTCTGGCCTCTCACAATAGGTACTTACTATAAGACGGTTATATCTCTTTTAGTAAGGGTAGATTTTAGAGTAGGACTCTATTATTTTTAGGAACTTAGTAAATTACTTAGAGACTACTATAAGACGTATAAGATAGTTAATACCCTCTACCCGGCTAAGAGAAGGGGGACGGGGGTTAAGGGACTATTAGGGGTATATATATAGTACCTTATAGTAGTATACTAAATAGTCTGGGGTTTTCTTTCTTTTATAAGAATAGTAAATATTAACGTTATAGTTATACTACCTATAGTACTAAGCGAAGTCCTTATAGTAGGACCTAATCGCGAGTATATAATATAGAACGTTCTATGAGAGATCTAAGTATAGGAATAACTTAATAGTATAGGTTATATTAAAGTTTTTATACTAGTTGGAAAGCTTAGGGGAGTAGTAGTCTTACTAGTCTACTCTTACCTTTTACTATAGGTTTCTATAAATAAAGTATATTCTACTTATAGTTAGTGTGACAGACGTGCTTCAGGTAGAACTCAGAACAATTAACACTCTATTCTTAGGACAAAAGACGAGGAAAGAAGGAGAGCTCTAGTGAGCTGGGAACTAAATACAGGTCGTGCGCGCTAGCGCCTCGCTAAGCGAGCATGTGACATCCAGCCCTCGTGACCATAACCGTCACAGTTAGAAAGCTAGCGAGACTAGTATTATACTAGCGCTTAGCTCCTTTATCTATAAGGTAATCTACCGTCTTATTCCCTTCGATACCTATATATCTCGGTAACTAGTATACTTGTATATTATACTATACTATACTTACCTATAGTCTAAGAAATGTGACGGAGCTGGATTTCATTTGACAGGATTTCATTCGCTTGGCCAAGCACGTGACGAGACTTGGCATTGGAACAACTTAAATAACTTCGCTCCTTTCAGATTCTCTTCTCTCTTTAGTTTGATTTCTTCGTACCTACGGTTTTAGTTCTAGCAATTGATTCAAAAGCTGTATACACTTTATCCTTTGTTGGCATCCGTGACAGTAATAATAAAGTAGATTATAAGGTTTTTATTAACTATATAAGTTATATAGATACTATTCTATTATACCTCTGAGTAAGGTATATTATTTCTAGCTTCTTAGGTATAAATACTATATAATTAGCTATTCCCTAGTTAAGTATACTTTCCTGAGGTCATGACCCTCTTTCAATTTGATCTCGTGATCCCATGGGCGATGTTCGGGAAGGGCACGCATGTCCTCCGGGTTCTCGAACAGATCCTTAAATTCTCTATACTGCACAGGTAACTCTGAATCGGCTCCCTTGCCGACCTGTGGAGGACCCTTTCCTAGGTGTCCGGGCTCTCTGGAAGAAGTGGCGCAAACTTCGTTCCGGCCATGTAGTCATTCTTGCGAACCCACGCAACTACAACGACTGAAGGTGAT